CCCACTTACTTTTTATGTAACGGAGCAAGACTACACTTTCAGTCACCAGATGGTTTATTGACGGAGAAGTTGTACACACCAAGATGAAGGGTAAGCATTCCCGATTATCAGCAATTCTGCGACAACTGGACACAAATTACAGGGATATACTGCAGTGTGGTTATTGGTACATTATGGCGATACTGTCAAAACTGGGCTTACGTGGTGTTATCAAGGGTGCGAACCATGAGTGGTTTGTTCTTATTGAAGAATCTGGATTGGGATCCAAAGATTTGCCATGCCACAACAATGAGAGACATGCTTGCAAGATTTAAGGATACTATTGGGCTTTCTGTCCTAGGAGAAGATCAATACGATGAAATGTTCCAGGAGAAGACGGGTTCTTGTTATAAGTATAAAACGGTAGGGATATAGGGTAAATTAATCTTATATAAAACTTTTATTACTACAACTACCTTTCTGAGATTCGATTGCACCTCGTACGTCATTCAATGTAGTCATTGAAAAAAGATCAAGCGTCAATCAAATCACAGCGACCCCGAAAAATTAGGACCAACTTTTAAAATGTGAAGAACGCAAGGCGACTTTCATGTGCATGTACATGCGTTGACTGTATCCACGTCAATACAATACTAGTCGATACGTAGACTTCTACAGGGCCTTCTAAAGTAATGCGCGCCGGGTATAATTCAAACCTCTGCCCCCATCGGTACCATTACCCCTAAAGCAAATCGTCTCCAGGAGACGAAATAAAGGGTTCGAGCTGGGAGGTTTTTCATGGTGATGACGCCAGGAACAAGATGGTTTAGCAGGAGAGCCCTACAGGACCTCTGTGGAAACGTCATTGGTGGCAAAATACTTAGAGCATGCGCGCTCCGATGGAAGCAAAGCAAGTGGTGTTTGCCTCAAGTGACGTCGACTTAAGGGATCGGACACGAAAGTGTGACATTGTCACTCCAGCCAAGCCAAAAAGACGTTGCACGACTGGATGCTTCCGTTCTGTTTTCACCAAACAGGGCTCGGTTTGGTGAAAAATCGACCGATTTAAAGGCTGCCGCAAACAGGTCCCTTAAGTAAAAAATTAATCTGTCACTAAAATGTCGCATTTGACGCAATGGTTGTAAATTCGATAAATTTAGCGAGCAAGCATAGCCTCGAAGCGAGCAAGCATAGCTTGAGGCAAAACAGCTGTTTGCTTTGCTTCCATCGAGCGCGTTTGCTTTAGGAGACGATACACCGAGGAACAGGACGACGATGAATGATTTAAGAGCGAAGCAATCGTCTCCCTATATTTAGGAGACATTCATAGGAGACATTCCAATTAGGGCGATCGTTTCGAAATAGGAGACGATCCGAAAGATTTAGGAGACGATACCATACAGTTTACATGGTAACTTAGAGACGATCCGTTGAGAATTAGGAGACGATCCGTTGAAAATAGGAGACGTTTTAAGAGGAGACAAAAGATTTAGGAGACGATCCGTTTCGTCTCCTATTTTTAGGAGACGAAATCCATTAAATAGGAGACGATCAAAAGGATTTAGGAGACGAAAAGTAGCATGACTCGAGTTTCCACAGAGGTCCAGGACCGTCCGACGGTTTTCGCTCAGGTTTTAAAAAAACTCAAAATTTTGCAGTTGAAACATTCCCTTAAACATTCCCTTAAAACATTCCCTTAAATCCTTAACATTCCCTTAACATTCCCTTAAATCAACATTCCCTTAACAACATTCCCTTACCGCTTCAAAACATTCCTCTAAGCCTTCATGTAAACCCCATAGAACATTCCCTTAAATAAATGAACATTCTCTTAAATAAACATTCCCTTAAAACATTCCCTTTAATCCTCAACATTCCCTTAACATTCCCTTAAAGCTTCAACATTCCCTTAGAACCACGATTTGAGCAGTTTTTAAACCTGAGCAAAAACCGTCGGACGGTCCAGCGTAGCTAGCTAGTAGCTAGCTAGCTAGATGTGTGGGACCGAACATGCCATCCATGGCAGCAACAAGCGGGTGAGAGGACTAGACTAGTGGAGGGGCTCACGGTGAACGTGACCTTGCTCGTACCGTATGCAGGTCTGCACAATCCAATTGTCCAAAAAGCAAAAACAATAGCTATAAGCGGCTGTACCTCTCATTACTGTGCATTGTAAGCAGCCGAAGTAATAAGTAAGAACAGCACCTTTACGATAGCCTAAATTATTATGAATTGTTCAAATCGACTTTTAGATCTCTAGAATCCCTCCAAGACGATCTTTCCTTTGGCCTTGCCGGATTCAATAACGGTATGAACTTTGGTCAAGGTGGCAGCATCAATCTTTCCAGCCGTAAAGGTTGCTGTAGATTGGATTTTGCCCTGTTCCACTAGTTTTGCCACCTTTTCCAGCAACTTGCCTTGCTCGTCCATATCGATGGTTTGAAACACAGGGCGTGTAAACATGAGTTCCCAATGCAAAGAGATGGACTTCTTTTTCAGCGCCATTATGGGAAAGGCATTGGTGGGATCATCAATCAATCCCAATCGCCCTTGTGGTGGCATGAGTTCCACGATATCGAGCAAATGATCTTCTGTGTTGGTTGTGGAAAAGACAAATCCAGGAGCGGGAATACCCATTTCTTTGATTTGCGGCGCCATGGGTTGTCGATGATTAATGACATGATGAGCTCCTAATTTTTGGACCCATTCCTTGGTTTCATCGCGCGACGCCGTGGCAATGACAGTCATTTCCGTTCGAGCTCGGAGGAGCTGGATAGCCATGGACCCGACACCACCGGCACCTCCAATAATCAGAATCGTATCGCCACCTTGCACGGTCGGCTTATTGACATCCAATCGGTCAAACAGCATTTCCCAAGCTGTAATGGTCGTCAAAGGAAGGGCGGCTGCTTGTACCATGGACAAGGAGGTTGGCTTGTGCGCCACGATGCGTTCGTCCACCAAATGATACTCGCTGTTGGTACCCGGTCGAGCAATGGAACCGCTGTAGTAAACCTCGTCACCCACTTTCAGGTTGCTAGTATTGGCACATTCGTTCCCCACTTGCTCAATGACACCGGCAGCATCAAAGCCCAACACACGCACTTCGGCATCGCCCTTGGGTATCTTGCCTGACCGCACTTTGGTATCTACTGGATTGACCGAAACCGCACACACCTTCACCAACAGGTCTCGTCCAGTGGCATTAGGTTTGGGTAGCTCTACATCCACCAACGCATCCGCCTTGTCAATGGGGCCTGCTTCTCGAAATCCAACTGCTTTCATCATCATACTAAAGACCAAGTACCGGTAATCTATGATCTCATCAAAAACAACAATAGAAATATTGGCGTTTTCGACGGGTTGTAGAGAGTTGTTGTGTGAGTTGTGAGAGAGTTCTCACGGAAGATCCAAAATCCAAAAAAGCCAGCAGAGCAAGCATCATGGACGACGAGTCGAGTCGTCGCACCAAGAAGCAAACGCAGACCCAGGAACGTCATGTTCAGTCCATCCGCAAGCAACGTAGACCAAGGCGAAGCAGACTTGCCCGGTATGTTGCACTAGTCTAGTAGTATTCGAATCGAAGCTCGATAACTTGCGGGACACTGGGACGACGGATTGGCCGAGATATCAAAGACAAGGTTTCACCTGGGTTCAAGCTTCTTGAAAAATAATTGTTACTGGTACGCCCCCTTGTTGGCAAGGTGGCTAGCTAGTGCAACGTCCGTTACAGTCTATTAGCTAGCAATATTCTCCTGGCGGTACTAGTAGATTATTCTCCTGGCGGTAGACTATTCTCCTGACGGTACTAGTAGATTATTCTCCTGACGGTAGGCATTTACCAGAATCTTCGCGATATTGGACGCTCGCGGCACTCTCCAATCCTTGAAAGGTTCGTTCTATCGTTCTCCTGGATCCTTCTTTTGAAAAGTGGCTTAGTTGCAGCATAAATGTGTCAGCCTCTTCGGCAGGTCCTGAGGCAATAGTCACATTTTCAGGGAGGTGAATGACAGATGTAATGGTTGCAGTGACATCCTCCTTTTCTGGTTTCCATTGCAATGGCTTGTTCTTTCCAAAATTGTGTGCTAGTCGCAACCAGTCACCCAACAAGGTCGATACTGTACGACCATCCAATCCACCACCATCGGCCCTGGTTCCGCGATTGCTTGTCGTGTTGGTTTGACGTTCCAGATACATAACAATAGGAGATTGAATTTGATAGCTGAAAGCAGAATCGTTGGGCAGTACCTGCAAGTTGAGGGATATTCGTACACGATGAGAATCAGGCAGGGAAAACAGCGTCTCTGTCTGATGCACGCGTCCTTCTTTTCCCGATGGCAAGGTTGTGGTAGTATCCAACGTCAGAGTCGAATCACTGGGCTTAGAGTAGCTTGTCGTCTCTGTAGAGAACTCTTGTTGCGTCTTTTGGGTTTCCAAGTTGTCAACGCCACAACCAATGGCAGGCAACACACAAATCGTTTGTCGTTCTTTCAAACCACTTTGTTCTGTCTCTTCTTCTTCTTCTTCCGAAACCAACACTTCCAGACTCGAGGGTTCTTGACCCCACTCCAACAATGCTTCGGGGACCAGGTATTCGGGGATGGGAATCAGGGCGCCATCCTTTGGTGAAAACGTGGCCTTGAGACCTGCAAAATCACCACCCACGCAGATCGAATCATGTCTTGTTGTCGTGGTCTTCATGCTGTTACTAGCACTGACTTCACTATCCATCGACGACGCAGAAAACAGCCGTGAACAGGTGCTGAACTTCAAAAAAGGACTAGACGACAAGCTGGTAGAACACTGACGCGGTGCAAACGACGATGCTGGCCTAACAAAGGAGGCACTGCACACGAGAAACAAACTGCTTTGGAGACGTCGACCAACCATCGCTCTTCTCATGGTCTTTGTTCTTCTTTGGTGGGCGACTTCGATTGTGGATTGTGGGGAGACGAAATGGGAAATGAATGACGTGTCGTGGAAGCAATGTGCGGTCTGAACAAACAAAACTGACTAGCTCACGCACAATCATTGAAGGTCTTAACGTGTTGGCGGCAGTTCATTAATCTTAATTTTACCACAATTGAGACCATACAGAAATGAGACAAGCACTGTTGTCTTTTTCAATGCTTTCGCGTAGCTGTCTAATACTGTAGCCATCTCTACTATCTAGCTAAAGGAGCATCACGATGGGTGAAACAGAGATCAACAAGCGAGATGCTGAAGCAGGAGGAAGTTCGGAACCTCCTGCCAAGGCGAGCAAATCCGAAAATGGATCTTCAAACGGCAAAGCTTTGACGGCCCAAGAATTGGCCAAGGAGTTCCCATCCCTTGCCGAGCTATTTGCATCCCCAGCCCCCATCCTGGCACTCTACTTTGCCAGTGCTTGGTGTCCTGATTGCACGGGTGTTACTCCTGTTGTAGATGAAGTGTTTTCCAAGAAACAACCAGCAGACAAGCTATTTGACTTGGTCTATGTGTCATCTGATAATTCAGAAGAACAGCTCAAGGGAAACCTTCCCTCTGAGGGCTGGGGCTTTGTTCCTTTTGATAATGTGGAAGAAAGGTCCAATCTGAAGCGTCACTTTGGGTCCTGTGCTGCCAAGGAGGTTTCCGTTTTGGAGATGAAACCTGAGGATCGCAAGTCAGGGATTCCAACGTTGATCCTTCTTGAGGCCAAGACAGGAAAAGTGTTGACCAGAGATGGAGTGGATGACATTATGGGAGTGGGAGGGACTGACACTGCCATCAACAAGTGGAAAGGATTACTTCCTGCCAAGGATCTCACTGCGGAAGAATTGGCCAAGCAATTCCCATCACTTTCCAAACCAATCTCATCCCCAGCTCCCATCTTGGCACTCTACTTTGCCAGTGCATGGTGTCCTGATTGCACAGGTGTTACTCCTGTTGTAGATGAAGCATTTTCCAAGAAACAACCAGCTGACAAGCTGTTTGACTTGGTCTACGTGTCATCTGATAATTCGGAAGAGCAACTCAAAGGAAACCTTCCCTCTGAGGGCTGGGGCTTTGTTCCTTTTGAGAACGTGGAAGAGAGGTCCAATTTGAAGCGTCATTTTGGGTCCTGCGCTGCCAAGGAAGTGTCCACTCTAAATATGAAACCAGAGGATCGAAAGTCGGGAATTCCAACGTTGATCCTTCTTGAGGCCAAGACAGGCAAAGTGTTGACCAGGGATGGAGTGGATGACATTATGGGAGAGGGAGGCACTGAGGCTGCAATCAACAAGTGGAAAGGAATGATCTGAGTTCACTTATTGCGTTATCACGGTGTTTGGAAGGACCTTGTTGTGTACGAGTAGCATGATGTAGGTACTCAACAAGCAAGACGTCTTTTAAAATTAGGTCAACGTGCATATGCGGTATTAGCAAAAGCTAGCTAGCTATGATCAACATCCATCACTCAACTCTTGCCGGGAGTGTCTGTGCGAGTCATGACATCGGCTGGTGCCAGCCCGGGAACTAAGAATGGCAGTAGCTTTTGTAGCAGAATAATGCCAACCATGGCAGCCCCAATCCCCGCTGTGACAGTGGACGTTTTTCGTCCCAATGCCTTGGCAATGGATTTCAAGACGAACTTGGTTCCCGCTACCATCCCATATCCACTCCCCACCAAAATTCCCACCTGTGCCAATCGGTCCATTCTCTTTTTTCGCGCGACTTGTTTAAATGTCAAATCATCTCGTTGAAGCATGGTAATGACGTTGGGTGAAAATACTTTGGGGAAACTTTTATGAAAGATGGCATCCAAAATGATGGGCAGAATGAATGTGATAAAGCCTAGACCACCGGGTCGGTCAAGCTCTCGTGAGATGGTGACAAGTTTCTTGGCTTCGATGGCTCGTGTTTTGGAAAATTTCCGCACAGCATCGCTGAGCGTATCAGTTTCATCAATGATGTCTCCCAGAATCTGTATTCGGTAAAGTAAAGATGGTTAGTTGTGAAACCAACATAACACTTGAACAGAATTTTGCTTGGTCGTTTGCAAAAGGACTACTCACCCTGACGTCTTCCAAGGCACTATTGGCACCGAGTCCAAAGTACGGTTTAACGGTATGCGCACAATCCCCCAGAATAATGGTATTGTCTCCTTCGTGTAAACGTGGTCCAACGTAGCGGAATCCTGGTAAATACGAAGGCGGCTTCTTGGCGACGGTCGCCACTACCTCATCGTCGACAATGGCACTGAATTGCGGCAAGGATTCGTCCAGCTCTCGTCGCAAAGCAGCTGGATCGGTATTGGGTTTGGCCAACTCATCGGTTTCTCTCAGCAACAATACCCCGCAGTATTGATTTTGATCATTGGCCGGCAGTGCATCGAACACAACCCGAGAACTCTTGGATCGTGCCGAGTAATTGACATCGCCTCTCCAATCCGGTGGCAGCGTCATGGGGATGGTTTTGTAAATGCGTCGATTGTCGTCTGGAAATCGTTTGACTTGGAGTGGACGTTTGCCAAATATGGATGATTTCTTTTCTTGTTCGTCCTTGGCTTGAATGGCATTGGCAATGGTTCGTACGGTTCCATCGGCGGCAATGAGCAGTTGTGCCGAGATCAGTGTGGAATTTTGTGTATCACAGAGCACATCTTCCTGTTGTTCTTGTGCTGTTTTTTCTTCCGATGCCGCAACGTTGGAGACGGCAGGTGAGCATTGGGAAGCTCGCAGAAGGACTCGGTTGCTCGTGCCGTCTTGGGTGGTTGAATATTCAAAATTGACGGGTTGAATTTCGTATCCGTGATTGAGTTCAATTTGATTGTTGTTGTAATTTTGTAGAATGTGTTCATGTAGGACTCCCACGAGTTTGTCTCGCGGCATGACAATGGTCTGTACCTTTCGATCATCAAAGATTCGTTCGACGCCTTCCTCGGCATCCGGAGCCCAATCCTTGCGTCCAATGACTTTGACGGAAAATTTGTCGACTTCGTTCAGGACATTGTATGATTCCAGGGCTCGTTGTCCACGGGATCCCAATCCAATCAGGTAAAACCGTGCCACGTCGCTCCAGGCATCTTCATCGGTTGGTTTGGGAGGTGGCTGGAGACGGTCGTACAGCTTGACTTTTTGCTGCATAGTTAGAAAGACAAGACAAGACAAAATAAGATGAGTAGATGATACCCATGAGCAACTAACCCCACTGCTGTCACCAAAGGTTTGATTCACAAGGTAGCCGTCTTGCTTACGTTTGGAAACTTGTTTGCCAGCATGATGGCACTGAGTAGACCCGCTGGTCCTCCTCCACAAACGACAAAATCTGTCTTGCTGATATCCTCTCCTTCATAATCATCATTGGATGGCAACACTGCCTCGATATTGGAAGCATCCGTTTTACTGATCAAAAGAGGAGTTCGTGTGGGACCAGTGCGTCTTGCAGAATGGTCTTCAAAGCAAGACTTTGGAATGACAAAGGCAGAACAATGCAAGCAAGAAGAAGAAACGCCCAGCAATACAGCTGATGCAATGATAGGAAACCTCATTTGTCTTGGTACTAGTAGGGCTGATCTTGTTATCCACTCCAATACAGTGCCTCTCGCAAAAGCCTTTGTGGGGACTGAGAAAGATGAGGGATGATCCCTTTGACGTGACAGTCACAGGTCATTCAGGTCGTTTGGATCCAAAGATCCATTCAATTCGAAGGAAGCAATTCGAATGATCAGTCGAAGTGAAGCTGTAATCGAATTTGTATCTTTGCGGTGCGCCTTTGCGCGCTGTTGTTGTGCTTCGAACCTCCCTCAATCTCGATCTCCAGCTTCGTCTAACAAGCATACTGTAGTCGTCCACAACGGTTGCCCATGTCAACATGTCCAGCCAGCCGCCCAAGAAGCAAGAGTTGCCACATTCCGTCGAGGATATACTAGCACTGATGAGTTGGAGCTACTGAAGAGCAATATGGACAACCCAACAAAAATAGCACAGCAGCACGATCCATCGTGTTTGCGGCAGGAGGATGTTTGGGTCAACCAGATTTTCCCTTTTCTTGGCATGGGGCACTTTGTCTTTGTGGCACCTGTCAGCCACAAATGAAACATCTATACAAGGAATACTGTGAAAAAGTGGAGAATCCTCCAAAGATCAATGAGTATCCTTATACCGGTAGGTTAGTAGCAACGCCCACAGATACTTTCTACAGCGTAATTGTCTCTTCTGTGTCCCGCGCAGAGTATTGGTACACCCACCAACTTTCTGGCAGAAGCGGACAGATTGGTGGAACAGGTATTTGTTCTACTGCTGCCAAGGTGGGTTGTCTACAAGTGATACAATGGGCCCGAGAGAAAGGATTTGATTTGAATGAAGCAACCTGTGCAATTGCCGCCATAAATGGTCATTTGAGTGTCCTAAGGGATGCACATGAGAATGGCTGTCCATGGGACAGCTATACATGTTCTGCCGCTGCCAGACATGGTCATCTGGAGTGCCTGAAGTACGCACATGAGAATGGCTGTCCATTGATTATGGATACATGTCTTGATGCAGCAGCAAGAGGCCATTTGGAAATTCTGAGGTATGCTCATGAGAATGGCTGTCCATGGAATTGGGGCACATGTTCTGCTGCTGCAGAAGGAGGCCATTTGGAAGTCCTTAGGTATGCCCATGAAAATAGTTGTCTGTGGGATGATGAATGCACATGTACTCTTGCTGCCTTTCATGGCCACTTGGAATGCCTCAAGTATGCCCATGAAAATGGCTGTCCATGGATGAGACACATGCAGCTGCTGCAGGAGGCCACTTGGAATTCTCAAGTATGCTCATGAAATAGCTCTCCATGGGATGAGGACACATGTCCATGCTGCTGAAGTGGGCTTGGAAATCCTGAAGTATGCCCTAGAATGGCTGTCCATGGATGAAGGACATGTCTTCCTGCCTTCCATGGCCACTTGGAATGCCTCAAGTATGCCCATGAAAATGGCTGTCCATGGAATGAGGACACATGCAGCCGTGCTGCGGCAGGAGGCCACTTGGAATGCCTCAAGTATGCTCATGACAATAGCTCTCCATGGGATGAGGACACATGTCTCAATGCTGGGCACTTGGAAATCCTGAAGTATGCCCTCGAGAATGGCTGTCTCGGATGAAGGACATGTACTTTCACTGCCTTCCATGGCCACTTGGAAGTGCTGAAATATGCCCATGAGAAATGGCTGTCCATGGGATGAATACACATGCAGCCAGGCTAGTAGAAACGGGCACTTGGAAATCTTGAAGTATGCCCGTGAGCATGACTGCCCCTGGGATGAATCAACTTGGCACTCTGCTGTAGACAAGGGGCATGATCATTTGCTGCAATGGTTACGTGACAATGGATGCCCTGGAAGCGCACCATAAAAATCAACTTTTAAAAATCAACTGAAGGGAATCCTGCCTCTGGCATCACCCACTTCAAGCCAGCTACTAAGGTGTCCCTGTGTTGGTTTCTCAATCTGGGTAGTAGAGAGCGAAGATAACTCAATTAATTAAAATTGATCAAGGAGCTAGCAAGCAAGGGCTTGGAAAGGAAGCCAGTGCATGCATCTCTCAGACAAGAACACTTTGTTGAGGAGGGAGGCACCAGTACTGCACCAGTCTGGTAGACTAGTACAGTATCGCCAGTACCCCAGGAAGGTCCTGCCAAACATGAAAATCTGGAATTGAATTCATCATTAATTAAATATTTTCATCCCCATTCATCACCATTCAACACATTGGTGATGAATTCATCACCATTCATCACATTTCATCACGGTTTCATCATTTTCATCACCATTCATCACCATTCATCATCTCTATAGTAAAACAGTACTATTTTTCATCACGATTCATCACCAGTCATCACGAATTCATCATCTTCATCACCATTCATCACCATTCAACAAACTGGTGATGAATTCATCACCATTCATCACCATTAAACACGTTAATCAAGAATTCATCATAATTAAACTATTTCATTATTTGCGGGACCTTCCAGGAAATTAATTGTACATGTACCCGTATCGGTACCAGTGGCCATGGTGTTTCCACAGCTCCCTACCGGACGCACTGGCTTATGGATGGTGCAAAGAGCTGTGCAAAGCCACGTGACACAGCCTCCAAACCAACCAATCTTTTCAACGGGCTCATTTTTTGTTTTTGTTTTGAAAGAACAAACACAATTGACAAGCTGCTGCTACAATTGACCAAGCTGCTGCTACAATCATAGAAGACGAAGAGGCATCTAACTTGAGTTAGTTGTTGATCATACGAGAAGTTGACCATGACTATGATGAAGGAAGAAAAAGAAAAAGATTCGAGCATCCAAAAGGAAGAAGGAGTAGATGCTGATCACGAGAAGAAATTGGTTCTTTCCTATCTGAGTCGCATTGCTGCTGCAGCTCGAGCTTTGACTCGGACAGACAAGGATGATATTCATCCAACCACGGAAACAGACAACACGGCTGATGACTGTCAGTCCTATATCGATCAGATTGCTTGCGACTTGTTGCTGGCTTGTGGAAAAGATGCCATGGTATCCTCGGTTGATCATCTGCCTGCCCAACTTCCACCACTATTGGACCCCCATCGGGATTTGCCCTTGGATCCTTCCCAAATCAGAACCTGGAAACGAGCCGATTATCTACGAAATCTGCTACGAGCCATGCCTCCCATTGCCATGGATACAGCTGCTCAAATCGTTAATTCCATCATTGTTCCCATGGAAAACAACAGTAAAGCAACAAGCAAGAATGACATCAAACACCACAAGGCAGCCTTTTTACTCTTCTCCATCTGGTTGCCCATTGCACCTTTTTTGGCACCAATTGTATCTGAGTTGTTTGCCTTGTCGACCTTTCCTTGTCCCTTACGAGACATGACCAACCCAAAAACAACAACTGGTCAAGCACCACAAAAACAATCTCAATACATGTACTACCACTTCTTGCTGGTGCAAGCCACACAATCCATTTGCCAGTTCTTTTACAAACGAGGAGAAATCCACATGGCACTCTCGTTCTGGAATTGGAGTCCTGTATTTGCCATTATGAACCACTACTTTGCTCAACATCCAAATCCTGGTGTCAAGTCAACAAATAGTGCCCGTGGCGAGGCAGATGACGCGATGGAAATCGATGATGACGACGAAGACGACGATCATAGCATGGACGATGTGGGAACCCATAACGATAAAAACGACAACCAGCAGAATGATCTATTATTATTTGACCCCAACAACTTTGACCTTTCCCAGGCCATTCGATGGTACATTGCTCGCATCGTCACATACGTACTGCAATTGACTCCTCTTGCCAAGGGAGAATACTTGCAAAGACTAAACGTCCGGAAACAAAGGGTTCCATGGGTCATTCATCCATGGATCATTGACCAGGAGGAACAAGAAGCACAGGAACTGCAACTGCAAGGAAAGGCACGACTGTTTGACCATGATGGCGTTTTTAACGTTCCATCAGCCGCTCTGGCACGAACTTTCATTACACTGCATCCTTGGCTGGTCCATGTAGGAAATGGCATTGTCTTTTGCAAACATCAGTCCATTGCACATGCAGTTGCTTCAAAAGAACCACTCCAACAATCGACAACAACAACACCTGTGCTGACCCGCACTGCCACAACTGCCGAAAATCTAGCCCTGGTGGGAGCCGCCATGTCCACCCATCCACATCCTCCCATTCTCATTTGTGGACCACAGGGATCTGGAAAGAGCAGTCTAGTGCGAGAACTTGCCACCGTTTTTGCTTTGACCAGTAACAACGATATCAATAACTTGTTGGAGTTGCACGTGGATGAAGAAACCGATGCCAAGACACTGATTGGGACGTACACCATGACGGATATTCCCGGTGAGTTTGCTTGGAAGCCCGGAGCACTTACCATGGCTGTACGAACGGGAAAATGGGTGCTGGTGGAGGACTTGGATTCTGTTCCCATTGAAATACAGGCGTCATTGGTGAAACTGTTGGAGGATCGAGTCTTGCCTTTGGGCATGAGTGGGGACAATTCGATGCAACGGTGTCACCCCAATTTTCGAATCTTTGCCACTTTGACTACCACAGCCACAGATGGTCATTACAAAAGAAGGGGTGCCAACAAGCGCGTTCTCAATCCTTCTTTGTGGAGACGAGTATTTGTCAGGCCGTTGCCCTATGGAGAGCTTCAAGAAATTGCTCGATCGCGATATCCTAATCTACCTCCCACCATTTCCGAGTCAGCATTGAAAATTTTGAAATCGGTGGATCGCAGTGGTCGAAATGATGACTATACTGGTGATCGACAGCAACCGTTCTCCGAACAAAACAACCCGCAACAATCTACCGCTGCTAGCGCGACTTTGATGAGTGGTCGTCAACCATCGGTACGAGACTTCTTCAAGCTGCTGTCGCGAATAGCCAATGGAGTTGTCTTTGAACGCGATACCAAATATGCCACAGAAAGCCAAAGGACATTGTGCATGGCGGAGAGCGTGGATATCTTTTGTGCCGGTAGTCCCCATCGAGAACAGCGCCGAGACTTCATTCGAAGCATCGTCGCACCCAACTGGGGGCTCACCGCCGACTTGGCGCTGGCATACATTGAATACCGCCGACCCGTCGTCGCGCAAGCGGGACGTGATCTTGTCGAAGTGGGACGTGTCAAGCTACCAGTAGTGGTTGATGCAAGCCAAACTGCGGATGGCAATGATTTCACGGAAACCAGCTTTTCTTTGAGGATTATGGAATCCATTGCTGTTGCGGTCAAAGAGAATGAACCGCTTCTGTTAGGTACGTAATGGTGGAGTGAGTTTGCGAAACGACGATTGCTTCGCAAACCTAACAGCTGTCGATGATGATTGCTCTTGGATCCTGAAGTGGGGGAAACCGGCGGGGGCAAAACCAGTGTTGTGCAGCACCTTGCTCAACGATGTGGGAGAGACCTTGTCGTGCAGAATCTGAGTCTCCAGACCGATTCCACTGATTTGCTTGGAGGGTTTCGTCCGCTGGAACTGCAGCATGTTGCCCAGAGGGTGTATTCGTCCTTTGTGGATAACTTTGTTGCAACTTTTTCACGGAAACAAAACTCTGATTTTCTCAACTTTGCATCTTCAGCATTGATCAAGAAAAACTGGAAAAAACTCTCGCAGTGCTTCCTAAGGGCATCGAAAATGGGTCTTGCAAAAGTCAGGCAACAGGAACACAAGGGGGAAGACAAGGGGAACGCGTCACGCAGAGGAGGCCTGCTGTCCTGGGAAAACTTTTGCGAGACAGCCGAGAGCTTCGAAAGACAGCGGGTTGCTTGCGATTCGGGGCTCGTTTTCTGCTTCACCGAGGGTGCTCTTGTTGACGCTATACGTGGAGGGAAATGGTAAGCTTCGAGGAACTAACGAAGAAGTGAGAAGTATCCTAGATGTTGGCAATCTTACTCGAATGCCTCTCTGCTATTCAGGGTATTGCTTGACGAGATCAATCTAGCTTCTTCGGAAATATTGCAGCGGCTACTAGGGCTATTGGACGACAGAGCAGGCAGTCTCACTCTTACCGAAAGGGGCGACATTGTACCTGTACCGCGTCACCCTGATTTCCGCCTCTTTGCGGCAATGAACCCTGCTACAGACGCTGGAAAGAAGGAGCTTCATCCCAGTATTCGATCACGGTTTACCGAGTTATACGTGGACGAGCTACTTGATCCAGTTGAGCTTCGTGTTGTTGCGTCGAGATACTTGCGCTTTGTTCTGCCTGCTGGCGACAAACCTCCCGAGCATACTGATACGGTGATTGCATCCGTCGATCTGTATCTCAAGTGTCGCGCGCTTGCCGAGCAAGTCCTGGTTGATGGAGCTGGGCACAAACCTCGCTTCACTCTCAGGACTCTATCGAGGGCGCTGACCGCTGCAAAGAACCTCGTGTCCATGCAACGTATCTCATTGCAACGGGCGCTCGTTGAAGGGTTCGAACTGGCCATTCAAGGCCCGTTGGATGCAAACTCCACCAAAGCAGTGCAGCGTGTCCTGAAAGGAGCATTTGGGGACAAGATCGGCAAAAACGAGAAGGACCACCCAGGAAGGAGACCTGGTAAAGGAGACTCGTCAGCATACGTCTTGGTCAAACCATTCTGGATCGAGGCTGGCCCGCATAGGCCGATTGACTGGGCAGAACCGGATGCATCTGGGAAGTGCAAATTCATTTTGACCCCTTCTGCAAAGTCCAACGTTCGGAGGTTGGCCCGGGCAATTGCTTCGGGACCTTGGCCTGTTCTATTGGAGGGTCCAACTTCAGGCGGAAAGACTACCTTGGTAGAATACGTAGCAGCGCGTTTAGGACACCATGTCGTGCGTATCAACAACCATGAACATACAGGTAAGAAATTGAAATTTGGTTGTTGCGTGTCTTGGCACAATGCAGGGCTCTCATTTGGATTGACCTGTCGACCATCGAAGATGTCCAAGAGTACACTGGTTCGTTTGCACCAGATGCCAATGGCGCCCTCACGTTTCAGGACGGAATCCTCGTGAGAGCCTTGAAGCGAGGTGACTGGGTTATTCTTGACGAGCTCAATCTCGCGCCAAGCGAGGTACTAGAGGCTCTAAACCGCCTCTTGGATGACAACCGACAACTGTACCTTCCCGAAATCAACCAAACCATAACACCACATCCTAGATTCCGGTTGTTTGCCACTCAGAATCCCTGTGGTGCCTATGGCGGAAGAAAGCCTCTTTCGCGGGCTTTTCGCAATCGATTCGTCGAATTGCATGTTTCGGATATTCCAAACTCGGAAATGACAACAATTCTAGAACGGAGGTGTGGCTGCCCTCCTAGTCATGCAAAGGCTCTTGTCGCAGTTATGGACAACCTACGTCAACGCCGTAGCAAAAGTGGGGTCTTTCTGGGAAAGGACGGCCTGATCACACCGCGAGACCTTCTCCGGTGGGCGGAGCGGCAAGCATCCTCAAAGCTCCAGCTCGCCCAAGATGGGTACATGTTGTTGGCCGAGCGATTGCGCACTGAAGAGGAGAAGAGAGTCGTCAGAGAAGAAATCGAGAAGCAAATAAAGTTGAATCTGGAAGTCGACGACTTCTATTTTGGCCAACAATCAGTGGCTCGTTTGAGTCTGGAACGTTTCACAGCAGAGCAGGTTGGGGCTTTCCGAAGGTCGAAATTGATGCAGTCCATTGCCCCTACAAGATCTCTGCTCAGGTCGCTGACGCTCATTCAGCGATGTGTCGAGTATCGTGAGCCAGTGTTGCTTGTTGGAGGTGAGTAATCTTCCTTCCTATCCATATCCGCAGACCAGATTGCAGCCAGTCAACTAACAACTGTTCTTGTCACAAGACACTGGTTGTGGAAAGACTACGGTCGTGGAGCTCCTGAGCGCCATGTCAAATGTAATTCTTAGAATCATCAACTGTCATGCAACTACTGAAACCTCTGACTTGATTGGTGGCCTGAGGCCTGTTCGAGGAAGAAACATCATTGCTGGGCAAATTTACAAAAGACTACAAACGTTACTCCTCCGGTGGCCGAACAAAGCTGCGATCGAGCAAGCAGACATGCCCTCGTTTCTCAGACACGAGAATTCCGATGCCGATGACTCAGACATGGACACGACAACTCGAGATGGCCTGAAGCAACCTGGACTAGACTTGCCAGAGGGAGCCGTTGCCGCAATGATGAAGTTGACCAAAGATTTGAAAGCCAGCCTCAGTACGGAGGGCGACGTGGGCATTGAATCTCCTCAGAAGAAACCAAGGTTGTCTGCGGAGAAGACCAGTGGTGGGACCTCCAAAAGAGACGGGGAAGCCTTGCAGTTTCGACGAACCTTTGATGAACTTGATGAATTGTTTCGGCGTCATTCGGCCCTCTTTGAATGGGCGGATGGGCCTGTAGCAGCTGCAATGAAGTCCGGAGACATGCTTCTGCTTGATGAGCTGAGTTTGACAGAAGACGCGGTCCTGGAGCGCCTCAACTCGGTGTTAGAGCCATCTAGGACCTTGGTGTTGGCTGAAAAGGGCGAAGATCTCAACATGGATTTCGATTCGGACTCACGGGTAGTCCAGGCAGATGGCGAGTTTAGAATCTTTGCTACAATGAACCCCGGGGGAGACTTTGGGAAACGGGAGCTGAGTCCTGCGTTGAGAAGTCGATTTACTGAAATATGGGTGCCTGCGGTTGACGACAGCCGCGACGTTGAGCTTGTCCTTGCCCGCTGCTTAGCTGCGGCTGACCGTGAGATCCACACCAAACAGATACCACAAAAGATGTTGGAGTACGTCGAATGGTTCAACACGTCAATCTGCAAGAATCCAACGAGCCCATACCCGGGTCTGTCCTTGTCACTTCGTGATGTGTTGTCTTGGGCTCACTTTATCATCAAAGCGAGAGAAGCCAATCACGACATTTGTGTTTGGGAAGCTTATTGTCACGGCGCAGCTTTGATGCACTTGGATGGCATTCATGTTGGAACAGGGCTGGGCTTGCACGAGGCCATTCAGCTGAAGGCGGGTGCTCGGGACTTTCTCGTGACGCAAGTAGAGGCTTCTGCAGAGATGAACGCCTTTTCAGCAGACGGCTCGAAGCTGCGGTTTGAAACCAAGATGGGCATGTTTGGAGTACACCCTTTTTGGATCCCGACTGGTCGAAGTTTTGTGAGCAAATCGAGCTTCAATTTCCAAGCCCCAAAGACGGCCGAGAATGTACATCGAGTTTTGCGAGCGATGCAGGTTTCCAAACCCATTCTACTGGAAGGTGAGCAGGTACCGTTTGTCAAGTCTGTTTGCTTCTTTGTACGCTTCTTACATGTGACGTGATGTGTTGGTCACACTGCTTAGGTGACCCCGGTGTGGGGAAGACAAGGTGAGTCCATACATGTGATCCGTTGTTCACAGGTCTTGTGCATCAGTGATTGGAATGATACTGACTTGATATTGGCTCCATCTATAGCCTTGTGCTGGCTTTGTCAAATGCAGCAGGTCACCGTCTGACTCGCATAAATCTTTCGGAGCAAACTGATATGTCAGACTTGATTGGTAGCGACCTCCCAGTTCCCGAAAAGACTGTGGATGGGAAAATGGAAGCTTCTTTCAAGTGGTGCGATGGAGTGCTTCTTACAGCAATCAAGAACGGCGACTGGGTTTTGCTCGATGAACTCAACCTGGCATCCCAGTCAGTCCTGGAAGGCCTCAACAGTTGCCTTGACTATCGCGCAGAAATCTTTGTTTCGGAGCTTGGGAAAACGTTCCACTGCCCGCCAACCTTCAGGATCTTTGCAGCTCAAAATCCAATGGCCCAGGGAGGAGGGAGAAAAGGATTGCCACGTTCGTTCCTGAACAGGTTTACAAAGGTCCATGTTTCGCCCTTGTCGGGTTCCGATCTTCGATCTATTGTTGAATCCAAGTACCAGAGACTGACTCCCGAGCTCATTGATCGCATGATCGACTTTAACCAACAGGTGCATCTCTCTGTGGTTGACGAGCGTCAATTCGGTGGCGCAGGCAGTCCCTGGGAATTCAATTTGCGTGATGTGTTCCGATGGGCCGATCTCGTGACTTCAGAGGAGGGCCCTCTGCCCGACAAACTAGCGAAATTCGCCAGCTTTATATACCTCCAACGATTTCGCAATCAGATTGATCGCGACAAACTCCGGGTGGTCTATTCAGATATTTTTGGTGCAGATCTCTTCATAAAGGCTGATGTCAAGCTGGATCTTGACAACACTGTGGTTCGTATCGGCTGTGCGACTCTAGAGAGAATCAAAGTAGGAAAGCAGATGCAGTTTGACCCTTTTCGGAGAGAGCCTGCTTTACTCCAATCTCTCTCGCATCCGCTGGAGGCAGTGGCTCGATGTGTTCAGATGCAATGGCCATGTCTGCTTGTTGGAAAGTCGAGCAGCGGGAAATCGACAATTATCAACGGATTGGCTGAGCTTTGCAATGCTCCCTTGATTCAAGTGTCATTGTCTCCTTCTTCGGAAGTCAACGAGCTTGTTGGCTGTTTCGAGCAAACTGACGTGATGGCTAAAGATCGACAAATGCTGAAGACTCTCCGTGACATTGCATCAGCCTACTGTTTTGAATTTGCGAATCGCGATGGGTATTCTCATGATGTGTGTGAGCTCCTCTATGAATTGAACGCAGCCTCCATATCCCCGACATGCCAAAACACGCTTCTCTCTCGCAACGAGCCTTTTCGAGCAAAGGCAGTCGCCTTGGCAGACAAGCTCAGCAAAGCAGCGATGGCATATCCAGAGTTTGGCACAAGGCATGCTGATAAGTTGACAGAAGCGGCCAATCACATCACTAACGGATGCTTGGCTCCTGCACAGGAAAGCCATTTCCAATGGGTGGATGGTGTTCTTGCTCGTGCTATGGCGGAGGGACGCTGGCTTCTCCTGGAGAATGTGAACTTGTGTCCGGCCTCTGTGTTGGACCGTTTGAACCCAGTGATGGAGATAGACGGGGAACTTTTGATGGCGGAGTGTGGAGTTCAGGAGCACCAAAACGAAGAGATGCACCATCGCGTTGTCAAGGCTCACCCCAACTTTCGCGTGTTCCTATCCATGGATCCAGAAAACGGAGAGATTTCTCGAGCAATGAGGAATCGTTGTATCGAGATTGCTCTTTTGCCACCTGAATCAACTTTGTTCCAACCGAACGAGAGGCAAAACGAAGATGTCCCAAGTGGAGCTGCGTATATCGATTGCCTCGATTTGTGCTGGAATTCAGGATTGCGGTCGTCTACGTTGGCCGAAGGAATACTTCGAAGTTATGGCAAGACGTGCATTGAAGCAGCCTCGATGGCCGTTGAAGCACCCAGTGCCAACGCTCTGCCGGAAGCAGCACAGTTCACCTCATCGTTACTCGCACAAGGTTTAACGAGTGAAGCCTCAATCGCTTGTTTGAAGGGAGTGTTCCCTTTGAAGGATATCTGTCTGAATGACGGTTGGAGCAAGTCTAGCCGCATGCTGCCAACGCCTTCTTTGAGATGTGACCATCTCCCATTTCCCAACAGGGCAAGGGTTCACCGCGAGGGACGGACTCTGAGGACCTTTGTTGGCCGGCAGCAGCAGCTTCCAAGCCCAGACGAGCTATTCCCAGGAGCAACTGACGTGTTTGCTCTGTCTACACCGAGCGACCAGTTCACTGACTCCATGTTGCTTCGGAACTACTTGGTGTTTTTTTACTTGTTGCAAAACGATCCTGCGGAGACCGACGAGCTACCGAGCTTCTTGCACGGGCACCCCGACTCGCTTGTTGCTTCCTTCAAGTTCATGGCAGATTCATTTGCAGTAGCTAGATCGAAGTTGAACCCCCGATTTGGCGCGGGTGTCAACGAAGATGCCTCGCTCGACGTAGACATGGTGTCTAGTCTTGCCAGAATCACACAGAAATTATCGGAGCGACTTTGGTTGTCGAGGATGGATACCGGGCTGCTTGAACGAATAACTTTTGCCAATCTTGGTGTATTGGATACATCCTTTCTCTTCAACAAAGGTTTTTTTGACAGATCAAATGTTCCTTGTAAGGTGACACCAGCCATATTCCCACTGTTCCAGGCATTCGACCTGTGGACGGATCTTGTCACAAGTCGCCTAGCAGAAGCAAACGCAGAAAACCTACAAACATGGCATCGCTTCCACGAGTTGTTGACGGAAAGAGACCGACTCTGGAGTTTACTTGCTGGAAGCACTTTTCGAGCAACTCCAAACTCGTTGATCCCAATGGACGAAGCTCAATTCATTGTGCAATGGACTTGGTTCAAGAAGCGCATGACTGCCTTTGACAGAGAGAATTCGCAGCATGCATCCGACTCCACTGACGCGGCTGAGCGTCAAGTGAAGTCCTTCATTGGCACCATCGATGAGACTGTGTTTGGTAGCCAACAACATGCCAGACATGCGTCGCCGTCTATCTGGAGGAAAATCACCCATCCCTTGATACCTTGCTCTGCCGTACAATGGGAAGCCATTGAACGTTTGCGGGAATTGGCTCGGTTGTGCTGTGTACAAGAGCTACCCAACGATGAGAGCAACATGGTGGAGCTTCGCGACCTCGTCAAAAATCGTCACCCTGTTCTGGTCTTCTCCCAGAAAGAAAAAATGGAACTATTGCTTGCACTCTGCATGCTTCATTGGTCATCTACAGACGAGGCAGCAGGCGAGCTGCGTGTCGCTGCTCCGAGGTTGTCTCCCGACGAAGTCAGCCAAGCTTTCAAGAAGCAGTGGAAGTCTAAAGAGGAAGAATTCTATTTCAAGCTCGAAAGCGTCAGAATTGATCAAAGTATCGAAACAGTCGAGAATTTGCTTGGGGTTGAGGACCTTAAGCAACTAAGCCAAGGCCCGGAGCCTGCACGCGTTGGCTCAGAGTTTGCAGGAGTCTCAGATCGTGTCTTGTATGGCTTTGGGCGGTTGCAACTCTCCAGCTGCGCTGCTTCCTTCCTTGTGATCGAAGAGATGGCATTGATCAGGGCAATTTGCCGAGCTCTCTTGGAGTCAAGTTCGCTGGACAACTTGTGGGATGCTGCTGTAGTTCTCGCGGAAAAAGTTCAATTCTTCATCGACGAAGCCATGGCACGTACATCCTGGCCTGTCTCCGAGCTGCGGCCATACCAGACTTTTGTTTGGGCATCCAAGGAGCCCTCTTTCAAGAAAGATGGCAGCATTGAACGCTTGATGACCTGTCTCTTACCGGTCATGTCATCGTCGGCGTTGCGGCATTCGATGGAGTGGTCAACTGGGCGAAACCCAATAATCGATGCCAGGCTGGAGATGCCTCTCCTAGTCGACTCTGAGCTGGCTGGTGACGACGTTAGACTACTCTTCGCAAATCAGGTGACGTCCGAAGAGACTCCCATGAGTCACAATTGGATGCAAACCCAGCAGTTGTTCCATCTACTGGGAAAGCTATTCTGGTCGCCTGGCCTCGTGGGCAAGCAAGCAATATATTCCACACCGGAGAACCACAGAGCGAGGGCACTGCAAGCCAGGGATTTTGCCCAGATTCTGGCATCCAGTTCATTCCAGGCGGATCGTTCGGACCCATTCCATATCAATTACGTCGTAGCCGAGACATTTTTCGCCCTCCGGAAGTGGATGGCACTTGATACGAGAGATGACTCTGTAACCAAATCCAATCTTCACAGAATGCTTCAGGCTGGAGAGTTCAACCGACTTTGGGCATTGGCTTGCAGCTGCAAGCATTCACTTTTTCAGGAGCTTCTGAATCCTGTTGTTGAGCCGTTGCTACGTACACTGGGCAATGGCTGGAAGGCTGCCACCGATCCTGAGAGGCGAAAGGAGCAGACCTTGGCAAAAATATACACCGGCCTGCTTCGTTTCCACCTGCTTCTTCCAGAATCTCCGTTGGACCCTGCGCAACGACCTCGGGCCAAGGCGACCTTACTCACGTCGCAGGTTTCGCAGTTACGAGCTCAAGTAGCTGCGGCTCGATTGAGCTCGGGGTACCGCTACGGAGACTTTTCGCCAAATGATCCTTGTATTCAGAAACTCGAACATGAAGGGGCCCTGTTGGCCACCAAGATTTCGTCACAAAAGAAGAAGATCGTAGAACGATCGAACCGAGCTCCACCGTTTCTCGAACTCTATCGAGAGTTACAGGTCTTTGCAACCAATTTCTGTCGCACGGAGACTGTCTCTGAGCTTATCAGCCTCGTACAAGACTCGGAAACACCTCACAAGGCTAGAGAGAGATCGTCTCATTGGCTGACAAATGTATCGACCGGCTGTGAAAGACTGTGTTGCTATTTTGGCGCTTATGAGGATGTCGTTGTTCCTTTGGTTGATGCGATTCGACTGATGCACGAGGGCGTGAAGAAATTTGTTGATCTTCGTTTACCCAGAACAAAGGCACTGCCAAAGCAGGCGCCGGCGCTGCAATTTTTTCTGCGTTTTCCACTGGGAGACACAATTGACGGCTTCGGTGACTGCCACGAAACGATGGAGACAGCACGGACAGCCATCAAAGGTGGTGTTCGCTGCCATCGCACAATGGGGTTGGCACTGTTGTCGAGGCTGACAATTCTCAAACAATCGCACGGTCAAAACTCAAGAACGACAAAGCTTTGCTCGGCTATTTTTGACAGTTTGGTGGACCCAGAGAATGTAGCGAACGAGGAAATCGATTCTCGTAGTAGCAGCGAACAAGAAGAACGAAGCTTTCGAGAGCAATTTCCGGATCATTGGAAGGAGTTTCAAGGTCTGCTGGAGCGCACCGAACAAACCAACGAGGAGGAACTTGAAGACGAGTCTTCCACAGAAAACACAGATTTACGTGCCCCAATTCCGCCAGATATGCTCGAACACCTGTGCTTCATTCACAGACAGCTGTTTTCTCACGACAAAGCTGTTTCTGATTCCGACCGGTGTTGGGCACTCAAGCAATCTTTGACAGCGGCCAATCATCTGGTCAACAAGTTTGGCTATCCACCATGTGAAGCAGATGATCATGTCGGAGGTGCTGCTCATGTCATGGCTCTCTCGCTTGCAGCACCACAAAACAGCAACTGTTTACTGAGAGAAACAGGTTTCGGTGGCGGGGAGGCTACCCCAATCCACTTCTACTGTGATCCGAACCCTGCCGAAGTGCTGAGAGCAGCAGATGTTCTAGACAGACTCGTTTGTCGCATCACTCAACTCTTGACCGCTTTTCCTGGCAATGAGCTCCTGGTGGGGCTCATCAAGGTCGCTGACAGTGTCCGCAAACTTGATCTGCACTCTAGTCCTATCGGAAAGGTTATGACTGGGTTAGAGGTTGTCATGAAACAAGCGCAAGACTGGGAACAGCATGCAAGCGACAAAGTCAAAATCGGCAAACCACTTAGTGACATCAGTCACCTTGTGGCTCTCTGGCGTAAGCTCGAACTTGAAAGCTGGAAGGACCTACTCCTGAGCCGCGAAGATCGCTGTTTAAAACGTGCCAGAAAACACTGGTTAAGAATCTACCAAGTGTTGCGATCTCGGTTGCCATTTACCACAAAGAATTTGAGCCGCGACGATACGAATTCTTCAATCCGAGAGCCACGGGGCAAGAATTTAGAACTGCAATGGTCACCTCGCTGGACTTGGAAGGGCATTGCAAAGTGTGCAAGTCAGTTCTTCAACATTGTGGTGGAGACGCCCGACTCTGACTTCTTGGAACTTGCAAAGCTGATGGACACGTTCGTGCTTACGTCCCCGATCGGAGAATTCAAGGAGAGGCTTCAGCTCCTGGAATCGTTTTCATCTCAGCTTCACCAAGAAGCCAAATCATTGAACGATTCCTTCACCGAACATAATCAGTGTGCTCGACTTCTGTCCTCTCTAAGGCTTTTCTACGAGCAGTTCCTTCCGTTGGCAACCTCCAAGTTAGAGGAACAGAGAGCCCCAGTGGAAACCAAATTGCGAGATCAAATGAAGCTTGCAAAGTGGGACGAGCAGTCTTACTACGCACTGGCTGATTCCTCCGAAAAGAACCACCGCAATCTCATGCGGTGCCTCCGAGAATATGACGACATTTTGAATCTCAACATGGGCCAGTTGCTGGATCGCGAGCTCTGCGCAGGGATCAGATCAGAATCCAGCTCACAAGACGAAGCTTCCTTTACAATTCCCTCTCAGTCCACGTTCTTTCCGCTTCTAAGCTCTGTCGCGGCGAAGGAGAGTGTGGCTGCATCGAATATTACGGCACTCGAGAAGAGGCAATGGGTCGATCCTACAAAGCTTGGCATTCAAGGCGGCGCACATGCGAGCAATATCAAACGATACGCCGCCAAGATGAAAGTGATGGCGATGAACAACTCAAATCACAAGGGTTGGAGCACCATTGGCAGGAGCATTGCTCTGGAAATTTGTGAAGACATTTTCCATCGAATCGAGGCTTTACGGAGTGAAAAGTCCTCACGTCAAATGAAGGAACGCGCTTTGGTCGACTTGTTTCGCGCCATGAAGCAACACGGATACTCCAACGCTAAATGGTCCACTCCAAAAGAGCAAAAGCAAATGGTATCGTTGTTTCAGGTACCAAGCCCACGGAGTCTCTGCGCCGGCTTTGAAAGGCAGACTGTTTACATAGAAGAATTCGAGAAGTACTACTTGCGACATCTTGCAGAGCTGAAGCGATTTCGATCAGAGGCTGAAGTCGTTGGTAGCAAGTACATGAGCCGTCGCGAAACAGAAACTATGCTCAACTTTAGGTAAGCGCAGGAAGAAAGTATACCCCCCGAGAACAAGAGCCGCTGCAATCCACACATCTCACATTTTTTTATGCAACTCTCAGCGAACACGGATTGCTAATGATCACCCAACAACGTGCTCTGCTTTTCTCTCTCCTCCTTGATTTGAATTCTCTCAAGGCCAAATTTGAAGGTCTAGCAGTTGATGGCGATGTACTATCATCTCAAGCCACGACAAAGGAGCAATGGCTGCGTGCCAGTGAGAAGACCTGCACTGCGGTCGAGAATCTGCAACAGCTAGAGCTGCTACTAAGACTTTCTGAAGCTGTCTTGTCTACTTCCAAGCAGAAGAAGTGGGTTAGTAGCACTGCCGAAACGCTCAAATCTCACTGCAACCAACTGGGCGATGCTACCCTGTCTCTTCCCGCGCTCCTCACTACAAAAGATATTGCTCGGGTGAAAGACTTCCACAGTTCAGTTGAGAAAGCCATGTCAGTGTGTGCTATTTGTCAAGACCAGAACTCCTCGCTCAGATGTGTCCCGAAAGATGCGATCGATGAGTGCTATTGTCACTTGAAAGAGGCTGCATCCGCTCTGAAAGGATGCATGGAGGCATGCGGAGAACTCCCCATGGAATACGAAAGTAGCAGGTCCAATGACCTTGTTGATTCAATTTCGAATGCGGTCAAAGCCACGCTCTTGTCTGTTCAAGAGACGCAAGTGGTGTTGAAGTGTGCTGAAGCAGCGAGTGACGACACATCGAAAGAAGGAGACAAAGAGGCGGTCTTGTGGGCCTGTCACACGAATGCGTCCAAAGAATGGGCCAAGGTCGGGCTCAAAGGCCTTAGAAAGTGTCTCGATGTTGTTCTGGCTAAAACCGACGCTTTCGCCGACATGCAGCAAATACCACAGCTTCTTTCAGACCTGGGTGCGATGGGTCAGATGGCCTACGCTGTGTTTGAGGATAGATTGCACAAGTATGTCCAATTCTGCCGCGATACTGCAAAGTTCCACTACGTTCTGCTTAGAGTCTTTCGAGTTTTGGTGTCAAAAGGCTATTGCTCTGACGAAACAAGCAGCGACGACGAAGAAGGCGGCGATGGCAAAGGGCTTTCCTTTGAGGAGAAGGATGGCACTGGTATGGGCGAAGGCGATGGAGCCCAAGATGTTACTGATCAGTTAGAGAACGAGGAGCAGCTGTTGGGACTTGAGGGCGACAACGATAAACAGGAACAAAATGCCAACAAAGAACGGCAAGAGTTAAACGAAGAAGAGGCGGAAAAAGGAATGGAAATGGAAGGTCAATTCGATGGCGACATGTTTGATATGCCAGACAAACAAGAGACTAATGACAATGACAACAGTGATGATGATCAAGAGGAGGAGGAAGAATTGGATCGGGAAATGGGGCTGGATGAAGATCCAAACGAACAAGTTGTCGACGAGAAGATGTGGGGCGACAGTGATGATGAAGAGGATGTTGACCAAGGCGACGAAAAATTCGAAAAAAATAGCAGCATGAAGGGCGCACAAGAGGAGGATCAAACGCGTACAAGGGAGGACGAAGAAGGGGCCCCAGACGATAAACACGACGACGAAGGCTCGCCCGAACAGCCAAGGCCGGACACTGCAGATGCCACCGCAGAGAACGACAACGCATCAGACTGTGACGTCAATGAAGATTTTGAGGATAACTACGAAGAGAATCACGGAGTGGATGTCCGCGAAGAGCCCAAAAATGATCCACACAACGAGGAGGATGACCCAATGCAGCTGGACGATGATCTACAGCTTGACGGGGAGGACGGAGAGGATCAAAAGGACGAGGAAGATGCTGCTGCCATGAATGATGCACCCGATGACAATGTAGAGGGCGGAGATGACGACAACGTCGAGGGTGAGGATGACCAAGGTGACATGCAACAGGAGGAGGACAATTTGGCGGAAGAGGAGAATGATGACAACGCTCAGGTTAGCAACGCTGCTGTGGCCATTGATGCAGAGGAAACAGCCGACGACGATGCGGAGAACCCCGAGAACCAAGACCCGGATCAAGAGAATCCACCTCTCGAAGCCCCGCCTCAACCCGCCAACGACCAAGCTGGACTGGGCATAAGAGCCGCTGATGGTCAGGATGCTTGTCAAGATACTGGCGCGGAGGAAGACGAGCAGCCCGAAGAAACTGTTGGGGAGGACAACGACAAAGAAGAGGCTGGCGGCGCAAGTGAGGCCGACCAACAGCAACCATCGCAAGGAGGAACGCGCGGTGAAGGCGACAACGGCGAAGAACGAGGAGAGGATGGAGAGGACTCGGGCGAGAGCCCTGCTATCAACGAAGTTCCAAACCCATTCAAAAATCCAGGAGACGCTACTCGATTTTGGCATGAGAAATTGAACATGGTCGATTCTCAGGCTCCAGAGGAAGATGAGTTTAATAGTGGTGACAATCGGGTCGAAGACGACCAAAACCCAGCTGGTGAATATGAGTATGCCCCGAAAGATCAAGACGGGGCAACAACGCAGGTATTAGGGGCGGTTGCGGAGGACGAAGCTGTTGAGCTTGAGCAACAAGATAAAACAAATCGACAAGACAAGGGTGAAGAGAAACAAGAAAGGCAACAGGAGAAAGCAAATCGTTCAGAGCCACGATCTGAGAGTCGGCGGCAAAAGTCAAATCAGGAATCGAAGGGTCCGAAAAAGGAAGAGATGAAACAAGAGGAGGAGGAGGAGCAACCAAACGCTGAAGAAACAGATGGAGGCCTTGACAACAACGAGACTATTAAGGATGATGCTACCGAGGACGAAGAGGGAAACGACGATGACAATGACATTTCCATGGATGATGGAGAGGATGTTGGCAATCGGGTTGTATCTGACATGTCTCGTTTGGACATTGAGGAAGAATTGCCCAGTAGCTCCAACTTGGATGCGGCAATCGTTGAAGATGAGCAAGTGTCCGGAATAAGCAGTGCGGAAATCTTGGAGTCTCGCAAAAAGTGGGCGCAAATTCACGGGGAGACAAACAGCTTGGCGCTGCGCCTTTGCGAGAAACTGAGGCTTGTCATGGAGCCACTGGTCGCTTCAAAGCTAAAAGGGGACTACCGCACTGGAAAGCGCATCAACATGAAGCGTGTTATTGGTTACATCGCAAGTGGATACAGAAAGGACAAAATATGGCTGAAACGGACCAAACCATCGAAGCGAAACTACAGGGTGCTGCTTGCCGTCGACGACTCGGAGAGCATGTTAAAGGGCGGTACAGGCGACGTGGCACTTCGAGCTTTGGCCACGCTAGCAATGGGGATGAGTCAACTGGAAATCGGAGAGCTGGGTGTAGCAAGCTTTGGCGATGACATGAAACTTCTGCACAATTTCAACCAACCTTTCACATCAGAGAGCGGCATCAACGTGGTCCAAAACTTTGGCTTCAACCAACCCCGAACCCGAACCGCTCTGTGCGTCCAGAGTGCCCTGTCAGTTTTGGACGAACAGAGCGATTCTGCATCTGTTCAGCTCATGTTCTTGATCAGCGATGGCCGCATTGAACGCGATAGCCGCACAACACTTCGACGACTGATTCGTGAAATGATGGAGCGCAACATCTTGTTGGCTATGATCATTGTGGAACCCGACCGGGAGAAAGGCGAAGGGAAGAAAAACGACAGTATCGTGAACATGAAGGAAGTCACCTTCGAGAAAGGAAAACCCAAAATGAAGCGCTTCATCGAGGACTACCCGTTTCCTTACTACCTCATACTGGATGACATCCGGGCTCTACCCGAAGTGCTCGGCGATGCCCTGAGACAGTGGTTTGAGATGTTGGCACAGCAGCAAGAAAGCACCTAGAGAAGACAAGTCCGTTATAGCTCTTGGTAAGTTTATAGTTTTAGTCGTTTATTGTCATAATGCTCTTTCTCCTTTCGTTTTCAAATACAATCTGCTTGCCGCAGCTATTGAAGAATCACCTTCCACTTGCAACCCGTGTACTTCAGAAGATGTTAGAATTGATCAACCTCAAAGCTTTGATTTGGGCATCCCTCTGCCTGTCGAAATCAAGCTGGCACTTGTCGCTGGTCAACTCGGGATCAAAACCGCGACGAACGCTCGAGACAGTGCGGGAACTCTCGGCCAGCATCTCGGTTTTTTTGTTCTTGTATTCGAGCCTCTTCATCTTCCGAAGTTGCTTCGCGTTTTGGTTCTTGGCCATTTCCTTTATGGCAGCCTTCTTTACAGAACCAATGCCGCCGCGTCGCGGTGTTGGTTCGACTGGGTGTTCCCCATAGGGGTCAAAGTCGTTCTTTGTCGTTTCATCCAAGAGACGAAGGGCACGCAAACCAGCTCCTTGCTCTCGGATTAGATCAACAGATCTCTTGTGGTCATCAAGAGACTTGTGCTCCTCGGCGCCTTGGCTGTTTTGGTGGGTGCACTGTTCGTACGAATGCGGAACAGGAGCCGGCTGCGCTCCCCAGCTTGGGAGCTGATTGGAAGGTGGCTGGCCCCATTCGGGGAGCTGGTTGGGACTCGTGGGAGTGCTCTGGTAGTGCTGGTATGGCTGGGACTGTGGCGACTGCCAGTATCCCTGATTGGCCATGTATCCATTGCCATTTGCCGGCTGCTGCAGGTAAGTGCTAACCTGAGGCGGGTATGATGGCTGCGCTGAGTAGGGCTGAGGCCTAGCTTCAGCAAATGGCTGAGGGGCCCCGGGCCGAACACTCAACGAAGCCATTCCGTTGACGACACCCTGGTACTGGTTATCAGGGGCGGGTCTTGTCGTCCCTTGAGGAACTTGGGGCAACCCCCCTCCTTGAACTGGTGTGCCCATGGGTGGAACACCAAATAAGTCGTCCTCTTCGGCATTGAAGAGGCTCACATCTCGGTTTGCCACTGGAGCGACCTCGGCCTCCCTGGTTCCAATGTTCTGGGTGAACTGGCCAGGGGGAGTCACCGGGTTGGGGCATTCCTGGTTCACTCCATAGTTGGGTGTGGGCGTGACAGGCTGGGTACCATTACTCATGAAGGGCTGGTTCACTTCATAGTTGCCGTTGAATGGCTTATTCTGATTGTTGTAGGGCTGAGTAGCCGGGCTATATGGCAAGTTCTGGACCGTCCTCATGTCTTTTTTTCGCTTGTCAAACTATCTAGACGATTTGATTTTGTGAGCAGCAGAGAGACTAGTTGTTGATGATGTGGAGCTTTCTAGCTTGGTTGGATCTTGTTGACGAAACTGTGCAGAGTCGAGTCTGTCTTGTGTCAAACTATGGATTTTGCCGAGTCTTTAGATGATGTGGTGCTGGATCTTGTTGTGTGATAGTGTCGCCAATGATCTATCTTGTGGTTTGGTTCCAAACCTCGGCGAAAACGACTCCGATGCCCGTATCCCGTGGAGCGACAGTCGTCTTGATTGACTTGGTGCAAAAATTGAAAAAGTGGCTCCACTCGACTCGACTGACTCGACTGATCACTCGACTCGACTCGACTCGACTCGACTCGACTCGACTCTTGTGGTTTACTAAACAGCAGAGCTGGAAAGAAACGGAGCTCAGACCCAGTCTTGGGGCTCAAAGTTCATGAGACATGTACGACTGTACGTACCCCACATGTAGTGTGGCTTTCCTAGCTAGTTTTGTCTCGATTGCCTTCATCAGATGGATTCTAGCTAGCCAGCTACCGATAGTTAGGTATATCTGATGAAACACCAAGGGAAGTGCTGCTACCAGGATAGGGCTAGTATCTGAAGAGGTGTTTCTGCTGTCTTAGGTTGCAGCGCTTCAAGGAAGGCACGTCCAAGCCGATCCAATTGGTAGCCTTCTAATAAAGCTATTCGTGATGTAATAAGGCAACAGATCCAGATCAACCTGATTGAATCGAATCGAATCATCTCAGTGACTACATGTAGCCTATTAGTCTATCTTGGCAAAAAAAGCCAAGCAGTGTGGTACTGGTACCGGTACCAGTACCGGTACCGGAGCACCAGCAGCAAATCAACGAACCTTCTACCATATCTGGTAGCCAGCTAAGCTAACAGGTGAGGTGGTAAAGACACTGCGCACCTCTAAACCTGAACCCTTTCTGGGAATACCAGTAGATCGTTTCTGGCCAAGTCCGCAAGACCCCCACAAGCCAACGCTCCCTCGACTCGTTTGGATTCAAACAAGGTGTTTTCGCGCTCTTGTCTCACTTTTTGGCCGACACCACGACACCACAGCGACCAACTGCCATACGGTAGTCTACTTTGGGTATCACAACTCTCAGATCGAGAAATTGAAAGGGAAAGCACAAAGAAATATGTCAGCAAGTGTAGTTAATAACATTGTAGCAAACATGGAGCAGCGCGTGGTTCAAGTTGTCATTGATGAGGATTCCAGAGAGTGTCCTTCGCAGACTGTGGGTGAAATTGGCCGAGACGATTTCTACAGGGCTGGTGCAAATGAAAGGCGGGGATCGGGACACTTACAAACACAGCATATGGTACACTACAAGCCAATGTTTCATCGGGTGACAGGTCTTAAGGATCGTCACAGTGACCACCAAAGCAAGGCGTTTCGCGAGAGGAGAGACTGCAACTCTTTTGATTCGCATGATTGTAAGTAGGAAGATATCGTGAGATGCAAGTCGGCATTTTAGGTATACCTACAAGCTTTGTGGTTGATTATCCTTTGTCTGATTCATCTGTTCTTTCACTCTCTCTCCTTCTCCAGCCGATGACGATGAAAGTGTGGTGCTCCAGCATGCAATGGCAGCTTGCAATAACCACTACACCAAACCTTACAACTCTCCAACCAAAGTGGAAGAAGCAGTTGTTGTTCAAATTGGGGACTCTGGGAAGGGAACGCCGGGAAACAACACCATGATACCAAACAAGAGAAAGACACCAAGCCCAGCCATGGGGGTTGAGCCAGCACCAGTGTCCGTTGTGCCCTTGTGTGGCGAGTCGATGGACATGGATGATGAGGAAAAGACCAACAACGAACAGGATGAACAAAGTTATGACAGCGACGACAATTCGCTACCCTCCTTGTCTCGCCGTCTCTCTCTCACACCAGTGTCTCGACGATTGGCGCTCCAGTTTGACTCGATTTCAATCTATGACAAGAAGCCCTCTCGTTCCAAGAGGCGCAAGACCAGTGACACGTCTCTCCAATGCTAGAGAACGAACATACAAGCTACCAATACGTATACGGAGCAGTCAGCCAGTCAGTAGATCTATCCTCCTTTGAAGGGCTTCATTGCTGCTGCAAGTACAACAAAACAAACTCAACCATGGATGTCATCACATCAAAAAGGCATGTTAACAATAGCACTACATGGTACACCAGGGGGGCTATGAAGGACAATGGTACAACCAAAGATACCAAGAACAAAAACAGAAAAGTAACTAATAAATAGGAAAAGCAGTTGGCAGTGACGGTGATTGCTCGTCTACTCATCTACTAGATCGATACGTGTACGTCGTCTCCAAATCAGATGCATCCCAGGGATATCTTAGCACTGAAGAAGACAAGGGGCAACCATCCAAAGGTCCAACGTACACAAGCACTCCACGGACGTAGCTCGTAGCAACGTACCGGTAGCCACCAGCGAGTACTAACTAGCCAAGCACTGCAGCTTCTTGCTCGCTATCTATTGTTTTTAGTGCGGTGCTATTTCACACTCGTCAAAAGGTTTCTGAACAGTTGAAATAGACTAGACTAGTAAAACGTGTACAAGTGCAGGGTATTATAGTGTAACATGTTCACTCTCGAGTGCAATCACTGCCTTCTTTGTTTCAGGTACAAGGCTGTTGACAAGAGAAAGCAGGATGCTGAAATGGCTGTTGCAATTTGAAGTGGTAGAATCCACTTTTCCAAGTCTGTTGCTGTAGCACCATTGTTGTCGTTGGATGCCGGCGGATTGATTGAAGCAGGGGTCTCACGAGATGATGATTTCTTGACCACTGCCACTGACTTGCTATTGTTGTTGTTGGAAACACTACTTGTTTTTGTGGATGCTATCGGACCAATACCATCTTCAATATCCAGAACCACTGCCTTTTCCTTGTTGTTGTTGTTTTCCAAAACGACCAATTGACCACACGCCGAGTCGATATCTGCTCCCATGGTTCTTCGTGTGGTACAAAAGGTTCCATAGGACGTGACAATTCTTTGAAATTCGCGAATATGTTCTCTGGAGGGACACCTGAGTTTGTCCTTGACATCTGTTTGATTGTATGGAATGAGATTGACGACGAGATTTCGATCCTGACATAGTTTTCCCAATTCATGAGCACATTCGAACGACGATGTTTCTCCTTCCACTAATAAATAAATAATCAATTGTTGTCATGAGTAAGAGAAGAAGAATGAATAGCTGGATGTCAGTACCTAACATATGCATGTATCCTCACACCAACCCAGTTTATATGACAGTAACAAACTTACACATGACGTATTCAATCATGGCCCTACGTCGCGAGGACGAACTTCCATTGGGAGGACGATGATGTGTATTGGCATCACTTTGTCGTGGCTGAATGGCTGCCTTCATGTGTCCATCGAGTGCATCAATAATGTCTTGAATAGGATAATGCTTTGCTGTGGGTACAATTACGGATCTCAATCGTTGATTGGGTGCATGCAAGGATAGTGCCAAGGACACTTCGGGCAAGTCTTGTGTCAATTTTCTAATTTTGGAGGCAATGCCCACCGTGGACACGGTGACCCGTCCATGTGCCAAGTTCCATCTCTTGCGATCAATGAGAGCCCGGCAGGCTTCGACGACATTGCTGTAATTGTCCAGTGGTTCGCCCATGCCCATGAAGACGATATTCCGGACCACATCGAGATCTGTATTGGTCTTGTCCTTCTTGCTTTGTTTCTTGGATTGTTCGTTGTTGTTGTTGTTGTTGTTTTCTTGTTGCAGTGTACGTCGTTCGAGAGCTTCCTTGGCCAGAATGCGTTCGGCATGAATGACTTGCTCGAGTATCTCACTATAGTGGAGACTCCCCGTGAGTCCCATCATGCCCGTGGCACAAAAGTTACAGGCCATGGCACATCCGACTTGACTACTGACACAAAGCGACGCTCTTCCACTCTTGAGAATTTTGTTTTCTTGTCGTGCTCCGTAGCGCATCAATACGGATTCTACGAGTTGCCCATCGTGCAATTGAACGGCCAATTTGGTAGTGGATCCATCGCCACTCGTCATGACTTTGGCCACCTGGCTCGTTACCGTGACAAAGCCATTGGCAGGATCGGCTAGAAATTGTAAAAACAGTTTGGGGAGATTGATGCGGTTGCGATTTTTGCGCGTGGTAATGGCATTCTTCAACGGTAGCTGGGGTTGTTCTGTAATAGTAGCATTTTCCTTCTTGCTGACGTTATTCCCAGCTGCCAGCTTTTCATTGTGATAATACTGTTCCACAAAATTCGTCAAGGGAGGATAATGGTGGCGATGCAGGGATTGGTAGAAGCCAGTAATGTGCTCTTGCTTGACCACAATGTCTCGTTCATCCAACGCTTGCAGTAAGGCTTGTCGATCTAGGATGGAACGGGGAGAGGGAGCGGGACGACCTCGGCCCTTCTTGGGCTTGATAGAAATCGATGAAGAAGACTCTGCAGGCATCTGGATTGGAATGGCTAGTTCAGTACGGGCTTGGGTTGAGTCTTAACTGAGACGGCTGGTTTGGTTGCAGCAGCAGCAACTTCTTGTTGTGTTTTGTTGTTGCGGTCGTTTTTTTGTTGGCAGTTTGCAACCTTGGTCGTTTCGTGTATGCGTATGGTTGTGCGGTTCTGGCCTGCGAGGCTGCCTCGCGCCGCCAAAGGTACCGGTGGGTTGTGGATCCTGAGCATTTGTGCGTCTTTGCTGAGGTGGCGAAACATCAAATTGTTTTGATAGCTTCATTGGCTTGGAAATGGATGGCTCACACAAAAGGGTCAAGTTGAAGATTTGTGACGCGCTGGGAACCGTCAACTCTCTTCGGGAAGCATCTTTACGTGGAGCCTGCGCCACCAAGAAAATCTGAAACCCATCAAAAGAAAAAAGAGATACGTTGCCGTACATCCACTGGAAGTTCAGAACACAGTGTAATAGTTATCAATCAGGCTACAAGTGCAAAACAAAGGCCACAATTTATTCTTCTACCATCCAATAACACACAACCTCTTTTCCTACCAATTTTTATTAGAATCAAAATGAAGTTCTCTGCGGCTGTTGCAACTCTTTTCTTGGCCTCGGCTACTGCCTTTGCCCCTTCTGCTTTCACTGCCAAGCCCACAACAGCTCTTCAAGGGTAAGATACCACAATATGACTTCTATTCTTCTTTTTCCCCACAGAACACTGAATGGTACAGGTCCAAGCCAGTTAGTCAAGCAGATGCATTCAAACCAAGCCAAGCCAAGCAAAAGACAACAACCTCCACTGGGACAAGGAAGAAATATAAGCTCCCTCTACTGATTTCTGTGAAGAGATGCTTGCATCCGGAATCAATTATTGCATATCAGAGTCCAATACAGAGAGATGTTCACATTGACTAAAGGCTTGGCTTGGTTAGCTCACTGGCTGACTGGCTGTCATCCAGCAATACCATACCATTCATGTTCTGTGGGGGAGTTGGTTCATTTTCATTCTTTGGAATATTTCTCACTTTTACAATTCTGTTCTCTTTTTCTTTGTTGGGATAGTTTCTCCTCGAAAGTCTTTGAGACTCAAGAGGTTTCCTTTGCTGATACCAAGGAAACCATTGTCAAGGGAGGAAGAGATCTGTTTCCTCTCCTTCCCAAAGCTTTCGAAGGGATTGAACGCATCGGGGTCATTGGATGGGGATCGCAGGCTCCTGCCCAGGCACAAAACTTGAAGGACTCCCTCGCAGAATGCGGAGCTGACATTAAGGTCACCATTGGACTCAGAGAGGGATCTTCCTCCTGGGAACAGGCCAAGGAAGTTGGATTCTCAGAGGATGAGGAGACCCTAGGAGAAATGTTCGATGTCATTAGCAAATCCGATTTGGTCGTTCTCCTCATCTCCGATGCCGCTCAGGCTAAACTATACAAAGAAATCTTCGAGGCCATGAAGCCTGGAGCCACCCTCGGACTTAGCCACGGATTCCTTCTGGGACATTTGGATTCCATTGGAGAAAAGTTCCCAGAGGATATGGATGTCATTGCCGTCTGCCCCAAGGGAATGGGTCCCTCCGTCCGTCGTCTTTACGAACAGGGTAAGGAAGTTAACGGAGCTGGAATCAACTCATCTTTCGGTGTCCACCAGGATGTCAGCGGAAAGGCCACCGATTTGGCCTTGGGATGGGGTATCGCACTTGGATCTCCTTTCATGTTCGAGACCACTCTCCGATCCGAATACAAGTCCGATATCTACGGAGAACGTGGAATCCTCTTGGGAGCCGTACACGGAATTGTCGAATCCCTCTACCGTCGCTACCAACGCCAAGGAATGAGCCCCGAACAAGCCTTCCTGGAATCTTCTGAATCCATCACTGGAAACATTGTCAAGATTATTTCCACTCAAGGAATCAAGGCTGTCTACGATTCCCTCAACGACGAAGACAAGGTCACATTCCAGACCGCCTACTCGGCATCCTACAAACCTGCCAAGGAAATCCTGCAAGAAATCTACGACGAGGTTTCTTCTGGAAACGAAATCCGAACTGTCATTATGCACGGTGCCCGCTTGGACCGATACCCCGTCGGCAAAATTGATGGAACCGATACCTGGAAGGTTGGTGAAAAGGTCCGCGCCGAACGTGACGAAGAAAACATCCCCCTCAACCCCTTCACAGCAGGTGTGTACGTTGCTACAATGATGGCACAAATTGATGTCCTCTTGGAGGAGGGACACCCCTATTCGGAAGTTGTCAATGAGTCCGTCATCGAGGCTGTCGACTCCTTGTGCCCATACATGCACTACCGAGGTGTTGCCTTTATGGTCGACAACTGCTCCTTCACAGCCAAGACGGGATCTCGTAAATGGGCACCCCGATTTGACTACATTCTGGATCAGTTGGCATACACAGCGGTCGATAATGGAGCCGCCATCAACGAAGAGCTGATTGCTGACTTTGAGAAACACACTGTCCACCAAGCTGTAGAAGAGTGTTGCAAGCTTCGACCGGCTGTGGACATCAGTTTGTTCGCAGAAACAAGTACCAAGGAGATCGTGATCCAGTAAGCACTTGCTGTTGTTAGGGCGAAAAGAAAAGTGAGAGAGTAGTTTCTAAATGAGTATTAGATGGTTCATGGTAAAACGTCGGCTCTTGATGACCTTGCAATTGGAGCAGCGCTGGATTATGTAGGTGATCCCATGAACGTGGCGGCACACCGGTGCCTTGAAACTGCCTCATTGGCACAGTATTTTAAAAGTGCAGCCTCTGGGAACTTGGACCCCCAATGTAGCTAGCGAAGTGACAGAAGATGTATCTACCCACCCCCCGCAAAGAAATCTACCGTACAGTACGGTACCATACTAGCTGGTAATGGATGGGCAAGACGTTAGCTTTGTTCATTATGCCCGCCAGCTTGCTCATGACACCTGCTGTGTTGATTTTGTCGGATGCCCGGAGCCCGGTGTTGGACATGAGGAGGAGGAGGACGGCTACTTGGCAGCTTTTGCTGTGTTTTAGCATTTTTTTGCCATCATGTTTTGGTGATATATCTTTTTTTCACTACAGTACCTCCAAAATCGGGTCTCGAAGTGCGGAAAGAAGAAAACTGTTGACGACGAGGAGTACTTGCATGCTCACCCAATTGCTGAGAAACGTCGGGCCCATTCTAGCTATCATAGTGCTGCGATTGCATTAGCGAGCTAGTTGCTGGCTTGTAGAGCGTGCTACTGTACAAGCCGATGGAAGCAGAAGAGCAAGAAGAACAAGGGACGTTGTCGGACCCAGGTGTGGAGGCAGAAGTTGCCCGGTTCCAGGCAGTGGTCGTGGGCCAGGAAAGCATTCCAAACTTGAGACTTTCCAATATCCTGCGAAAGCTGCTTGGAAAAGAAAATGTACATCGATATCTGGAGATCAAACATCTTCTGGAATTTCTCGCCGACCACTACAGTGTTGCCTCTTCCGATTCCAATTTAAGAATGGTGGGCATCTTCTACGACATCTTTTCTCTCGAGCCCCTGACATCCGCCACCGACACCATTGGCTACATTCGGACCCAGTATCCTGAGGTTGTTTTCTGTTTGTACCTCTGTAGCTTCGAGGAAGACCGCTTTTGGGGAGACTTACCATTCACTTGGCGCACTCGACTCCAACACTACTACACCCTGTACAAGGAGCAAGAACAGGTTCCACTGGAGCCAAGCGTCCGGGAGATATTGTATGATGTCATTCACGAGGCCATGACAAATGCCAGGGGCTACCAAACTACCATCAGTAAAGCGGGGAACGTCAAGACCCTTGTAAGGACCGATTTGACAGCTGAAAGCGGAAATTCAGTGGGGAAAAAAGGACCTCTTTTTATAAGTTATTCTCGTCGTGATTGGGAGGACTTTGTGCTACCACTGATCAATCAACTTCATGACAAAAAGTATAGAGTTTGGGTAGATCAAAACCTTCTCGTCGGTGGCGACGACTGGATGGATAAGATTGGAGAGGCGCTGGATCATTGTAAAGCTCTCATCTTGGTCATGAGCCCGGATTCGTTATCATCGAAGTATGTCAAGATGGAGTACAGGTACTTCTTCAACCACGACAAACTCATCATCCCAATTCTGCATCGGCCAGTTGACCGAATCCCTCCAGAGTTGGGCTGTGTACAGCACGTTGATTTTTGCAGGAACGCTTCATTACCAAACAATGGGTTTGCAGAGTCTTGCAAAAAACTGTTCAAGGTTCTAGAAGAGCAGCTGGTGGAGTCAGTCAGTCAAGGTGCATAAAAACCTAATACGACCAGGAATTATATCAACTCCAAATAGCTATGGAAACGATGTAGCCGTGTTTTGCCATCAGACAAGATTTCTTACTTAGCCTGAACATTTCTTTACCCACACGGCCCTACAGATCGACTTGAATCGAATCAATCTTCCCTGCCAGACTCAATTGTGGTGGTGATTTCACTTCTTTGATATTCACAGTGCACAAGAGTACGATTGGAAGGTATGATTTTCATTAACGATGGTGTGTGTTTTGTGTTACAATCTATTTTGCAAGAGCAAACTTCATTTCGCCAACTTCGACAACCATGTCTCCATTAACGTAAGCAGCTCCCGTTGCCTTGGCAATTCCGAATTTCTTGTTCCACTTGGCAATCTTGACTTCCATGACAAGTGTGTCACCGGGAACAACGGGCTTCTTCCACTTGACACCGTCAACTCCAGCAAAGAAGAAGACGGCACCTGGCTCGGCTCCTTCCATTTGCAAGCAAACAACACCAGCTAATTGTGCCAAGGCCTCTACTTGCAGGACACCAGGCATGACAGGTCGACCGGGGAAGTGTCCTTGGAAAAATTCTTCATTTTTGGTGACACACTTGACTCCCACAGCACTGGTTCCGGCTTCGTACTCCACAACCTTGTCAACGAGGGCAAAAGGGTATCGGTGAGGAAGGATCCTGTCAATATCTTCAGAAGTAAAGATGGTCTTGACGTCCGAGGTCAATCCAGACATTGCTGCAGCTCCGATTTCTGTGCTGGCAGGGGCCTCCACGGTGTCAGCGCTGAGGCTAGTTGTTCGGGTAACTCCATTGACGCCATTGGGGGCGGTGAAGGCAGAAGTGGTCGCCAAAACGGCAGCAAGGAGAAGGGACTGGAGCTTCATGGTTACAAATATAAAATAATGTAAATTGTGAGAAGCACTGAAGAGAGGCAAGAGAGAGACACACCAGAACTCCACCGCGATGGCCAGGCAAAGATTTCAGAGCCGGTGCTGTTCCCAAAATATCCGCCATCACCTGCAATCACAAGACGTCCCCCACTGACAAACGTCAGCATGGTTGGACTTGATGGCTTGGCAGGTCGTGCATTTGCTGTCCAGACACAAGACTTAGCCGTTGCTTTTGGGGAAGATACCTTTTGGGTGCGAACACGTACGCGATGCGAAGTTCCAGTTCGGAAGGGTTAGAAATAAGGTTAAACTTAGTGACGTGTTCCATCAATCCTCGACAACACCACACCCTCGATCCTTCGACGTCGATCAATGAATTCAATGCAGTGCACCCATCACCCGAAGCTCTGTAGTCCAATATCACACATCAGATCAATTGTCGTCATCAATTGAGGCGACAATCACGAAAAAAGCGACAGCCCTTCTTGTGTCCTCCTCCAAAGCAACATTATTTCTCCCCATCATCTTCCCATCTCATAATTTTGTAGTCGGAGATCGATCCTTCCCATCCATATTCACTCAACCAAAAACATGAAGTACACAATAACCGCCGCCGTCCTTGCTCTCCTAGCTGCCCAAGAGGGAGTTAATGCCTTTGGCATCAACAAGAATGTTCAACGCACTTTTTCCAGGGCCACTGTCCCTGATAGTGTTACCCAACTTTTTGCTGAGGGTAGCCAGATCACCATGCCTGCTCTTTCTTCCACCATGAAGGAGGGAAAGGTTGTCTCCTGGCTCAAGAGCGAGGGTGATGAAATTGAGGCTGGTGAGGCCATCATGGTTGTGGAAAGTGACAAGGCTGATATGGATGTGGAAGCATTCGAAGATGGCGTTTTGGCCAAGATCATTGTCGCTGAGGGAGAAATGGCCCCTGTTGGAGAGGCTGTTGCCCTTATCGCCGCTGACGCCAGCGAAGTTGATGCAGTCATCTCTTCCTTCGAGGGAGGTGCAGCTGCTCCAGCTCCCGCTGCTGACGCCCCGGCAGCCGAAGCTGCCCCTAGTGGAGGTGAGTTGCCTGACGTAGAACACACTGAAATTTTCATGCCAGCCCTTTCCTCCACTATGAGCGAGGGAAAAATCGTCGACTGGCTCAAGCAAGTCGGGGACTTTGTGGAAGCTGGAGAAGCTCTCATGGTCGTCGAATCTGATAAAGCTGATATGGATGTAGAAGCTTTTGAAGATGGCTACGTCGCTGCGATTCTCAAGGAGGAAGGGGAAATGGCTGATGTTGGTGCTCCTGTTGGAATTCTTGTACCAAACGAGGCTGACATTGCTTCGTTTTCTTCTGCTACTGCTGCCTCTATTTCCACCCCGTCTGCCACTGCCACCCCCACAACTACATCATCCACAGGAGCTGCCCCAGCTGCCCCAGAATGCGAATTCAGTCAAATTGATATGCCTGCCCTTTCCTCCACCATGAAGGAAGGAAAGGTTGTTTCCTGGTTGAAGAGTGAGGGTGATGCCATCTCGGCTGGAGAGGCCATCATGGTTGTCGAATCTGACAAGGCTGACATGGATGTTGAGGCCTTTGAAGATGGCTTCCTTGCTGCCATCATCACTGGCGAGGGTGAAACCGGAAATGTTGGAGCACCTGTTGCTTTGATTGCTGCCGAGGAGAGTGATATCCCTGCTCTCCAGGCATATGCTGCCAATCTCTCTGGTGCCCCAGCACCCGCCGCCCCTGCTGCTGCCGCCGCTGCTCCAGCTGCTGCTGCACCCAAGCCAGCGGCTGCCGCCGCCGCCGCTGTTTCCTCGGGAGACCGTGTCACTGCCTCTCCTTTGGCCAAGAAGAAGGCCGAAGAGCTCGGAATTGACATTGGCAGTGTTGCAGGAACCGGTCCTAATGGACGTATCACTGCCTCTGATGTTGAGGCTGCCGCATCTGGCTCTGCCCCTGCTGCTGCCAAGAAGGCTGCTGCCCCTGCCAAGCCTGTCTGGACTCCTGCTGCTGGTGTCATTGCTGCCACCCCAACTGCTCGTGCTCTTGCCAAGAAGGCCAAGCTCGATCTCGCCTCCATTGTTGGAACTGGTCAATTGGGCCGTGTCACTGCTGACGATGTCAAGATTGCCACTGGCGAGAAGAAGGTCGAACGCAAGCGTGCTTCTCCAGGTGAGGAAGTTATTGAGTTGCCCGCTGGCTTTGTTCCCTTCACTGGTATGCAAAAGGCTGTCAGCAACAACATGGAAGCCACTCTTCCTGTTCCAGTCTTCCGTACTAGCCGAGAAATTGTCATGGATGGATTCGATGGTCTTTACCAGGTACGTTTTGAAATCGAGCTGGACGAACTTCTTTGCCTGTCTTTCCCGTGCTAAATACCTCTTCTTTTTCGCCCGTTCTTTGTCTTGCAGAAACTGAAGAAGGATGGTGTCACTGTGTCTGCTCTGCTTGCCAAGGCCGTTGCGTTGGCCATCGAAAAGCACCCCATTATCAACAGCTCTTACTCCAGCAAGGAGGGAGGCGGTATTGAGTACAACAGCGACATCAACATCGCTATGGCTGTTTCCATCGACGGGGGTTTGATCACACCAACCCTTAAGTACGCCAACGAACGCAGTCTTCTTGAATTGGGAGAGAACTGGAAGGAACTTGTTGGAAAGGCCAGGACTGGATCACTCTCGCCCGATGAATACCAATCTGGAACCTTCACCATCTCCAACATGGGTATGTTTGGAGTTACAGAATTCGGTGCCATCTTGCCACCCGGCCAAGGAGGCATCCTCGCTATCGGTGCAACTCAAGAGCACATTGTGCCATGCAACCAAGCCGTTTTGGGAATGAAGAAGATCAAGAAGATGACAATCACTCTCACAGCTGATCACCGTCAAATCTACGGAGCTGACTCTGCCATGTTCTTGAAGACTCTGGCGGACATCATGGAAAACAAGCTTGACCTTCTCTCCAAATAAGCACGCAAAAACAATGCATGTATTAAAAAAACTGATAGATTATATTATGAAAAAGGGTGTTTGCATCCAGCTTGTCTGTGTATGTGGCTGATAGAGTAATTCAAAAAGAAAAGAGTATTGGGTGAAATCGTTGATGTCCTGCAGAATCAAATGTACTCTTGTGGCTGTGTTGTCTGCTCCGAAAAATTCTCCAGTATCGTCGTCGTACGGTATCATTTATGCATACGCTGCACTCGGATTTGTTTGTCGCACAAGGTGTTCACTGGCCACTCTTCAAATCTCCCTCTGCTCAGCGTGACAGTCTGTGGAAATGCCCAATGGAGGCATCGTGAGCAAACATTCACCTCGGTCAGTGAGCATTCGGCATGGAGAGCTATCGGTATGCTACATTAATTAAGTTACTGGTATCGTACTGGTACAATATTTGGTGGCGTTCTGATATCATGATACAGTGGTGAGGGTGCCAAGTAAAAAGATGAATAACACCCCGACAATCTCAAACGCTTAGAAGCTTAGAAGGCTTCTGAAAGATATTCTCGGCACGAATGGTACCGATTTTCGGCCACAAAACCCCTTGCCAATATTTTGCAGTCTTGTTGTTCTTTCTCGAAGGCGAAAAGGAAGGAGAGGATGAGTGAGAAAATTCCATCAAAGCCTAAAAGAAGCAATGAGCAATCGAATGAACATGAGTGCAGACAATGCTAGCAGAGACAGAAGGGGATCGATGTCAACACTTCGGTTGATCCTTATAATCGCGTGGTGCAGTCTTTCTCTGGTTCTTACCCAACTCACCGTTTCTTTGGTACACTCAGCCTTTCATATTGCATCTGACAATGACGAGCAACAACATAGTCATATGGGTGATGATCGTGGCTTTCAAAAACATGAACCTGCATTGAGTCTGGACTATTTCTCGTACGATGCACTGCTCGCAGAGATCAGGCTTCGCAGAGCACGAGAAGATTTCAATACACAGCGATCCTTGACAGCGGAGGGATCCTTGAGGTCAAAAGCCAATAAATTTACCAAGTTTAACCAAAACAAGCAGCAAGGGCTGAAGACCGACGCCAAAAAGGAACCAACACCACCCCATCTAGAGGCGACGATGAAACTAAACAAGCTGCTAAACGATAATCTAGTCGCGGTCGCGAGTTTGCCTCCAGCAACTAGCAGTCCAGCCCCAGCCCCTACACCATCACCTACTGAACCACCAACAGAGGAACCAGCCAAGAGACTCTTCTATTGTGGATATCAAGATATTGGAGAAGTGGCTGCCAAAACCATCTTTGCAGATTACCAAGTAATTGGAAGCTTTGTGCAAAAGTGCCGAACCAATGGATGCCATGCAAAGACCAATGACGTCCTTCTTTTTGGAATGCATGGAAGATGTGGAGACTTCAAAGACAATCACTCCCTACTCATGGAACGATTTCAGGGGAAAGTGCTGTTCCTTAATGGTGAATCCTTCGGAAACGCAAACCAAATATCTCCGGAATCCAGTGACCGAATCTACCAGCTAGGACCATACATGGAACAGCAATCATGGCAGAAACATACTATGCATGTCTACTTTTTGGTATTGGCTTTTTACAAGTTGCCCAGTGACAAACGACAAGCCATTCTGGATCCAGCAAAAAAGCCACGCAACACTGGTACAAAACCTGCCGTGGCGTACTTTGCTAGCAATTGTGTCGACTTTCGACAACAGGCAGCCACGGAAATTGCCAAGATACTTCCCCTCCATTATGTGAAAGGATGCCGCATCTCAAGCAATGGAACCATGGCTGAAATGGTTCCAAAAAACATTGGTATGTCGGGCGCCTACGCCAATGACGACATTTACAAAGATTACAAGTACTGTTTGGTCATGGAAAACACAAATTATCCAGGATACATCACCGAAAAGATTCTCAATGCTTATGTCGGTGGTTGTATCCCCATATATTACGGGACTACCGAGATCTTTGACCTGTTTCACAAGGATAGCTTTATCTTTTACAACATCTCTGATCCTCAACCAGCTCTACAGCAACTGCAACGGTTGGAGGAGAATGCAATGGAGTACATGCGAATGCTCTACAAGACACCGGTTCTGGCGTCACCAGAGGTGTTGGAAAAATACTTTTCTTTGTCGGATGATATTGGAGGAGGATCCTTGAAAAAGAGAATACGTGAAATGATGGACATTCCATTTTCCAGTTGATGAACAAGGAACAGCTGAAAGATGACAGCACACCAAATCTTTGTGTACCGTACCGGTACGGTATAGTCTAACGATAGAGAAAACAAAACTTTTGCTATTTACATCATGCGGGGATAGAGTTGGACAATATGTGGTCATATCCATTAGGCCTGCACTACTAGCTTGTTGACCTCTTTCCACACAAACGCATCCGGTTGAATGCCGTGCTCTTTCATTTGCAACAGCACCTGCTCGGCCCGTTCCCTTTTGTCGGGGACATTCGATACGCGCAAGACTTTGAGGAACGTCGTGTATGTCACGACATCTGGTCGGGATGTCTCGTCTCCTTGTTGAGCTAGAGCATGCATTTCATCGAGCAGTGCTTGCGCCTTTTCGACTGCTTCCTGATTGGCAAGGCCGACCAACGATCGCATGGCCGTGGTGTAGATCCTGGCATTCGGTTTCAGTGCTTGGTCGCCGGTGATTTCGTGCAACTCTTTCAGCTTTTGCAAGTACAAGGCTGCCCTTGATGCAGTTTTTGGGTTGGGGCTCTTGGACAAACACGCCATCAGAGTCCCGTAGGTATGGATATTGGGCCTCGCACTGCGATCACCCTTTTGGCTTTTCTTTTGCAATTCCAAGAATACTTTTTCGGCTTCTTGTCCCGCGTGAGGATCCCGACTGCGCGAAAGTGCCATCAACAAGTGATTGTAGAGGACAATGTTTGGCTCTTGCCCTTGCCGGTCCTGTTTGATTCGATGGAGGAGGTCCTTGACCCGGTGAACGTTGCCAATTTTAGCCCAGGCATATGCCACAAACTCATACACGGTAGAATCAGGAGGGAATTCAATCCATTCCTTCTTTCTCAACATCCACAGCTCTTCCAAGGCAGCCTGACATTCTCTGGCCCCTTTGAGTGGATCCTTATGGTTGCTATAGGCGATGATTTTGCATCGATAAGCGAGGATGACATCCAACGAGGATACGTGTTCGGATCGAAAGTGTTGTTGAAACTGTCGGAAATACTGGTCCACCTTTCGAATGGCATCCTTATTGCCGCGACTTGATTTGGCGTATGCTTCCAGTACAATCAAGTCTCCAAAGCATGGTGGCAGCACATCAAATTGCTCCTTGACAAACAATTGAATTTGTTCAATGCGGGCCGCCGCCTTGGGGGCTTCTGATTTCGCCCACGCTTGCATGACCAACTCAAAGAATTTGACGGGTGGCAATGCGACGGTGGTAATAGAATTCGTGCTATCCGGCAGCTCTTGCATTCGAATGAGCAGTGCTTCCGCACGAAAGCCAGCATCCTGATGGTAGGATCGTGCCCACAGGGTGAGTGCGTGTTGCACTACTGATTCTGGAGGTCGCAGTGTAGCATCTCCGGTAGCAATGGCCAATTCCATCATTTGATGTAGTACATTATCGGCCAAAAACGCATTGTCGGTGCTCTTGTGCTCGTTGAAAAGTGACAGCAAGACCCAGGAAAAACACTGTTTGTCGGGTAGAAAGTCCTTGTCTTGCGTATTGTCGTACAAATGAATCATATCTTGCAGGACGCGGTCGGCCGCTGTGGCATTTCCAGAGGCATTATGGATGGCCAGAACGTCTGTAAAACACTGTCGACAGGGCTTGACGTGCACATTCTTGTCTTCGAGGTACAGAGTCAGCATCTCATAGAGCATTTTCTCGGCTTCTTTGCTGGCAAGTTGAGGCTTTTCTCTGGCCAAGTCTTTCCAAGCACGGAGGACAAACTGGTAGGCCTGTCGAGACTGGCTGTGGTGGTCACCTTTGGCTCTAGACTGCAGAAAGTCTCCCACTCGTTCTTGTGTTTGGCCCGCATCAATTCCAGCCAAGTTGCAAGCCTTGACAAATGAGAGAAGCACCGATCCTGTCAGCTGCTTGTCCTTTGCTGCCGTCATGAATTGAAGCTTGCCGGAACTATCAAGCGGCACCAGATTAGTTGTCGGTGTTTTGGTGGGAGCATTATTTGATTGTGTTCCGCCATTGTTGTGGTCTTGAGGCCGTCCGCACAAGTTTCGCTCCTTCGACAACGCTGCCAAGCGCTGGGGGTACAGACCTCCTCTTCCGTGCCCCCTTAACACATGAGGACGAACTCGTCGAAGACATCGAACGTATCCAAGCATCGTCATCGTCAAAGCTTGCTCTAGCTACTAGTATGCATGCAGCTCCTGGCATCATCGTCGATTCGAGTGACATGCAACGCTGAGAGCAAACGCTTTTCAAAGCAAAGTTGGATCTTAAATCGTTTCTGGAGCTTCACGGCACACAAAGCTTTAACGTATGACAATGAGATGACGTCAGTTTCATTTCGAAGAAAAAGGCAAGGAAGTCAACACTTCTTCGCAGTTGTGCCGATGTTGGGAAGGCATTGAAGGCTTCGTTGCATCCATTCTCTTTCCTCCTCTTACATCATCTTACGGAAAAGAACCTGGACGTGAGATCCAAGAGCTGGCTCTGGAAACAATGTCACGAGCCTGGTATCTACCAGGAGTTGTTCCGAAACTTTGGGGATCCTTTGTTTCCTCTGGTGGGAAGCGTCAAGTCCAAGTGTGGAAGACACCATGTGCCGTAACCAAAGCTGGAAAGGAAGCCAGCAATCCCATGGCCTGTACTGCGCTCATCAATCCAGCCAATCCACAACTCTCGGGAGTGTCCAAATTTCCATACTTTCCTCGCGGTGGGCCCGTCCCCAAAGAGTACCCCAAAAAGGACAGCCACCACATCATGGGATACGTTACTCAATGGGGTGGCATGGAAGTTGGTGATGGCATGTTGTTTGCGGCCAATGTCGTAGATGGCATGGTACACCAGTTGGGTGGGTGGAGGTTGGCCGTGGAATGTCGGCTCTTGCCCATTGTCGGCAGCAACCCGGATACCAACGAGGAAGAACGGTGTCCAGTGGGACAGGCCATTGTTACAGGTCCTGGTGGGGCTGACCTACAAAAGCACTTTGATTATGTTGTGCATACAGTACCGCCATTCTACCGACATCATCCAGAGCCTGAACAGCATTTGATGCAGTGCTACAGGAATTCGCTGAGACTGGCGTTTGAAAGGGCATCCAAAGTGGCATGCCCGTTGCTAGGTGCAGGAGCGAGAGGATTTCCATTGGATTTAGCGCTTGAGATCGCTGGTCAAGCCAGCCTTGAATGGAGAGATCACTCCTCAGATCACAAAGAAAAACAGTCATTGTCATTTGCAATTCCCGATCCGGAGATTGCAGATCAGCTTTGCAAGGCAATAGAAGATGCTAGCGACGATCAATCTCGTAGATTACTTGACAATCAATAGCATATCCTACAATAATATTTTACGTTGACGACCACGAGGATACCGGTATGCGGTACGTGCAGCAAGTGAACTGGTTTTGCGGTAGCCTCGTCGAGGACATGTTACATTCTTCAGCATTCAGTTTCATTAAAACAAAAAGCAAGACCACTTCTCCTGTATTTTCCCGGAAAACAGTACCGGTACATCGTGCTACTAGTATGCATAGTAGTTACTTCTCGCCAGCATCTATGCTCTCCTATCGGTATATGCCTCGCAAGCTACTGTACCAGTACATGTAGACTAGATTGAATTGAATGATGAATGGTTGAGATTCCATCGAAGAAGCAACGGCTGTTTCGACAGCATGGAATGAATGATAGAGACGGAAAAAGATCCACGTTAACTAGAATCCACGCTACGCGCTCGGTGAAGTTACGATGACGTCACCACTCACACAAATGAGCCCAACCAAGCTTTCCAACTTCCAAGTGGCACTTCGGATGCCGAAGCAACGACGAAGCAAACGAAAGAACAATCTCAAACCACAAACCAACATAAAACCGTAGCTATTGCTCGGAACATGCAGTACATCGACACAATCCCAGCCCGAAGGTACTACTAGTAGAGGCCACAGAAACAATTAGCCAGTATGGTTTCAGTTCGACTAAACGCATTAGCATATCTGTGCCAAATTCTGTTTCTCTGTACCGGTGGCATCGCTGCAAGACAAGCCTTCTCGGGAATTCAATATGGCGGTTGGGGGCTGAAGAGCCATGCCAAATTAGTTCCGCCATCGTCGGATCAAAGACAGAGACTGGATTCCCTGCTACTGAAAATTAGAGGGGGGGAAGACGACAGCACCTATCCTGATGACAGAGACAACGGAAGATACGACGGCTACGGAGACTATCCAGAAGAATACACAGACGACAGGCGAGGGGGCAGAAACTCCTATGACGATTACTACGATGGCCAAGGGCGATCTGCAGCTCCTTCGGTAAGTAAGCCTCAAATGGCATGGTGACTAGCTAGACTGGCTTTTTGGCAAGTGAGTATTCATGCCTGGGGTTTCTTTCTTCGCGTTATTCTTCAGGGCCCGAATCCTTTATCTTCTGCAATGTCCAAGTTCAAACACGGAGATAAACGGATCGGTTTTGCCTTATTGGGACTTGGCGTAGTCTTCACCGCGATGGGAGTCAGTCTATTTTTCAACAAAGCATTGATGAGGTTGGGAAACCTCATGATGATTGCCGGTATCCCGACAACAATAGGGCCCAGTCGCGCAGCTGGTTACTTCCTCAAACCAGAGAAAACAAGAGCAACAGCTTGTTTGTGCGCTGGTATCTTTCTCGTCTTTGTTGGATGGCCAATCGTTGGCATTGTCTTGGAAGTCTTTGGTATTATGAACATTTTCGGAAACATGTTTCCAGGTAAGTGAAGGATACAAGTGTGCTTGTATGCAGCAATGTCGTCCGTGAACCTCACAGATTTCACCCTTTCTTTGCATCTCCCAGTGGTCTGGGCTATTGTAAAGAACATGCCAATAGTGTCCTCACTACTCAACAGTGGAGGAGGAGGTTCTGGTGCAAACAGACGCCAGTCTCAATCCTATCGAGACTACGACTACGAAAGGGACCCGTATGGCGACGATGATCGGGATCCATACAACACTGACGACAGAAGGGGATACGGCGATTACCGAGACGACGACCCTTATTACTAACGTAATGTATTGTACTTATTCAATGAGTTGGCTAGCTAGGCATTCACGAGTGCTAAAGGATCAATAGATTTAGCTCAGACGAGCCGCGTGGAGAAGCACACGTAGAAAGCACCACAACTATACTGCACCGTATGACATAGATCTCTCAGCGCTTCATTTGCATTTGCAGGAGGAAGCCGGAAAGCTATGTAAGAATCCACTGGCATAGGCGTTCAGTTGATACGTTTTTCAGTTCAAGGGCTATTCTGACCCATCCCCTCCTCACAAAGCAACCACGAGAGGAATCACAAGACTTTGATTCGATACTTCGTCCCAGCGAAAGCAGACTACCATGTCCCTCAACCCCGCTTGCTTTTCTTCGAGGACGACAAGTCCTTGTCTTTCTTTTTGCCCTTCTTGTCTTTTTCCTTTTTGATTTTGTCTCTTTCCTTGTCAATCAGAGCAGTCATTGTTGACCAGTTGAATGAGGGTTCTTCGCTCTGGCTACGCTTGAAGTTCTTACTTTCAATGTTCTTTTTCTTTTCCTTCAACGAAAGTGGCGACAAGCTACGAGTGGGTCTCCTCGACATTTGACGTACCAATTGGTGCCGTCTGTCCCTCTCTTGATTGTCGAGTGTCTCCGTGCTCTTGAGGCTGACTGATTTCCTGGACTTTCTTCTGCCTCGTCTGGTTTTATCTCTGGAGGGGCTCTTCGATCGGTCTTTGGAAGGACTTTTCGATCGGTTAGGACTTTTCGATCGACTTTTCTTTGACTTTTCCTTTGACTTCTCCTTCTTTGGGCTTTTCGACCTACTCTTTCCAGAAGATTGTGGCTGTTCAATTCTGACGGCTGGCATGGAGCCAGTGGTGGCCCGCAATGCAGATCCCCGTTGTCTGGCAGTAGATTTTGGAGGCGGCAGGTCAGATGTGTCCTTGGCTGTTGGCCCTGCGTCGCCATTGGAAGATCTTTTTTCTGGCGGCGTTTCTTCTTCTGCTTTTGTCGGGTTGGGAGGTTCCGGGGCTGGAGCTGGAGCGGGCGCTGGTTTGGGAGGTGGCTCGCCTTTGTATTTGATGACCAGTTTCACACTTTGAACCACCTTTGGCTTTGCACCCCTGCTTTCCAATTCCTTGAGAATTTTTGCAAAGTACTTGAGAAGGCATGACTTGTGTGCTTTTTCCACTCTGACCCCCGTGTTCATTTCATCCAGTTGCCCTTGCAGTCCCTTGACAATATCTCCAAACTCGTCCGCTACCCCTTCGTATTCCATTCTTTCCGCTTCTAGAAGAGGAATTTCTTTGTCTAGACGCGACAGTTCCTCCTGAGCTTCCAACTCGTGTTTCTCCCTTCCCAATCTTTTCTCAGTGTTGTGTTCTTCCAGGATTTGCTTGTCGAGTTCCCGAGTAAGTTCTTCCTCTGCTTTGATTTGTGTCTTTAGTTCATTGGTGGTTGCTCTGAGCTTGAGAAACTGTGCCTGTGGCATGGATACTTCCGCTTCGATCTCAAACTTGGCCTGATCATAGCCTCGTTTCAAGAAATCCTTGACCTCATCCAATTCTTCTTGTCTTCGTCTCTTGATATCGTCTAGTTCCTGCTGCAGAGGAATCCGATAGGAATTATAGTATCGCCAGTGGGATAAGCAGGCCCGGATGAATCTTTGTACGGCAATGGCAGCCTTGGTGATTCGCCGTTTCACGACGGCCGTGTTCTGGAGACGATCGTCATCCCATGAATAAACACTGGCTTTGGATCGATCCACCTTGGCCGCATCTGCTTCTTTGTCTCTCTGGGCAGTCTTGAGGGAAACGCCAAACGGAGACGCCATCTTCAACTTGTTGTTGTTGCCTTGTTGCTGCTGTGATAGATTGTGCTGCCTTGCTGTTGTATTGACTGCTTGTTCAGTCCTGACGAAAGTATGTAGTATCCAAACAACTGGGAATCTAATCTTGCTCAGAACCCTTTTACCTTGTAGAGCCAACTAGTAGCCAGAAAATGCAATCCCACACCTCTTGCTTCGGCTACCGGTACCGTACTACCACCACTACCTATCAGATCAGAAGACCAAACAACTAAACCCCCAGGAGATCTGCTGTTGACATGTATGATCCAGCTCAAACGGAAGTCGTACCGTCGTATCCAAAAGTGATACCCGTAGCAAGAAGCAAGAATCGTCGATCAAAGCAACAACTTCGAGATAAGGCTGATGAAGCAGAGTGTGATGTCATTCATTTGTGCTTTTTCAAAAGTCACAGTCATTATTACATCACATCCTCTCCAGTTGCATTTCTCTCCAGCCCTTTATCGACCACTGCATGACGCCTCAACGCCTCAACCACTCATCAACCGAACAATTCCTTGGTTTCTGTTGGCAGCATGCAATCGTCCTCCTTCCTGCCTCAACTCCGGTTTCATCTTACTAGTATCGTCAAGTCACAGGTACCGTATCAGGCTACAAGCGCTCATCTACAAGCAACAGGTCAACATGAACTTCTTTGGCGGTGGAGAACCTCAAAAGCCAGCGGGGCCCGATCCCCTCTTTGCTGGTAAGCTCGTCCTTGAGATACCCCTTTCTATTGATCTGCTCGCGATGATGTAATGTGGAACGTTCTCACCTGTTTCCTTGATGATTGATTGATTGATTGCATTCATTGCCGACAGCGACAACGGAAATGGAAATGTACACGGACCTGTTCAACAAGCTAACGGCATCCTGTTTCTCCAAGTGTGCCTCCAAGAAGCACAAGGAACCGGATCTTTCCTTGGGAGAAATGAGCTGTGCAGATAGGTGTGTATCCAAATATTTGGAAGCACAACAAAAGATTGGGATCGTCCTGCAACAAGCCAATGAATCCCAAGCACAACAGCAACAGCAAATGATGTCAATGCAGCAAACCATGGCCGGAAGAAAATAACTAACTTGCCAGTATGCATAGTGCTAGTAGACAAAAATCAATCAACCCATCAGAGTAAAGAGTTTTTCCAGATGCTTTCTCGTGGGACATACATAACTAACTACTACTATAGCAGGCCAAAGTTCGCGAAGGTTAGAATGATTGTTGATGCACATCATAAAAAATTGGTACATATTTATTCCTCCAGTTTTGTTTTGGAGATTTGCTTTTTGTCATCATCCCTGGTCATTCAACATTTTATTGCTTGTCTTCCATTTTTCTACCCAGTCACCATCTCAACATACTGGCTTTTGAGGTAGCCGGAGTTGTCGGGTCTTCTCCATGTAACCATGTTGATTGAGGAGAAGATATGCTTCTAACCAACACTGGCCTTATTCTATTTCTCCAAGGTGCCGGTTACCGTCCGTACACGAAGAATAGAAAAGATTGGGTCTCTTCCTTCTAGCAAATTTGCTTTCTTTCGCAGCTCTATCGGCTTTTATGATGCCTCAACAAGTACGACTCAGATTCTCACGACTGAGACAAAAAGATTTGCAAAAGATCGAGACAATGACATGATCGAGACGTCAGGCATGCAAGAAGCCAAACAATTGATAGACGACGATAATATCTCTTTGTGGCGCCTGTGCAGTACCGGTAGTAGTCAACGCCATAGGGATCATGCCATCAGCAGGAAGCAATGATGTTCCCCGATCGCTTCCGTTGCTGCTGGCTCGTCGTCATGTTGGGTATCTGGGAATACCCCACCGCTCGCCGGCTGGCAACCAAAGCCCCCGTGCTTTTGTGGATGGTGTGGCAAAACAGTTTTCACCTCATTGCTTGGTCCAGTCGCCCCAGTTTGTAACGCCGCAAACTCAGGGTAATGCTCGCAGTGCCATTGCGATCAATTCGATACATGTCGATCGAATGGAAAATCGATTTTTGTTGGCTGGAGGAAATGATGCCATTGTCAGTGTCTATGATATTTCCAAGTGGGGCTCGGAAGAATATCTGGAACGGTACGGGAAGGGGGGTACGAGCAAGATTAGTAGTGGAGCATCCAGCAGGAGCAATAAGGCGAGAACCCAACACAAGCCTATAGCGAGTTCGCAAAGGGAACCTCCTCGGGCTCTTTTTACTAGTGTCGAAGGAAGCAACAATCTGCACGCAGCTATTGAAATTCCCGGTGGCCATGCCTCTCCAATTTCCAAAGTTCAGTGGTATCCCGTGGATTCAGGCGCATTCCTGTCGACTTCCAAAGATGGGTGTCTGCTGGTTTGGGACACCGACTCCATGGCACCTGTTTCTCAGTCATTGCCATTTGCCGAGACCAAGGGGGGAATTGCTACCTTTCATCTTTCCCCGTTGCGCAATTATTCGGCAGTTGTGGCCTCCTTGCAGGATCCCAGTCTCAAATTGGTCGATATTCGCAGTTCTGCCTCCTCTCATACACTATTGGGACATGGAGGACCTGGGGTTTCTTCGGTGCAATGGGCCCCGCAGAACGACGTCATTCTCGCCAGTGGGGGCTTGGATGGCACTGTTCGTCTCTGGGATATTCGAAAGGCCGGAGGGAGATCGTGTCTTGCCATTTTGGACCAGGACAGAAGTCAGCCTCCATCCAGAACGAGGCCGTATCAAGCCGATTATTCCCATTTGCCCAAACCCTCGGCGGGACTACCCGTTAATTTTGCGGGCGATGAACATGCAGGATCCTTCAGAGGTAGCCACAAAAAACATTCGTCTGCGCGGCAACTACCCTCTGTATCATCTACAGAGCTCGCACCCAACAATTATCGAATGACCGAGAATTCTACAGTTTCATCTCACGGTGCACCTGTGTCGGCTCTATCATTTTTGAAAGACAACGGAGGGCACCATCTGGTATCGGCGAGTCGAGATGGCCAGTTGCATGTTTGGGATTTACGCGCCAATGGTCATCTACTGCCGCTGCGATTCTTGGCTCCGGGGCAACAACCCGCCATTTCCAAGAAGCGCGTCCAAACGCCCCTGCTTCTGACGTCGTTTGGGAAAAGCGATAATGCTGCTTCTTCACCAGGAGCCTGTTGGGTAGGCAATGGTACCGCGTTATTCGGGTATTCGTTGGATCGCGGAGGGGTACCACAAAAAGTCTTGCAAGGGCACTTGCACGTAATCACGGCGATTGATGTGATTGAAGGGAACATGCAACTGGTCACGGCTGGGAAAGATGGGATGATTCTGGCATGGGGAAAGCCAGATCAAGGGCAGGAGAACTATCTCAAGAGAAAGGTAGATCAAGATAGTTGGTAAATTGCAAGTCGTTTGCAATTTGAACACCGCACGAAAGTCAGTTTTAAAAGCAAGCTAGCTAGTACGGTGGTTATCGTTATACCTGCAGCCCAGTCCTAACACAAATGCCTTTTCACACCATCATAATGCGGCAAAACAGCATAGGTGGATTTCTTCATAAGCCTATCACCAACAGCTTGCCCAGAGGCTCCATAGTACACAGAGGTCTCATGGTAAAGCCAATCAACTATTGTTTCAAGATTTGCTTGACTTGATCCTCACAGAACATTTGCAGTGCATAGAGGTTCAACAACACCGCTTCCGCGGGCCACAATTTTTCAACAGTAACGCCAGCTCGAATGCACAACGACATGACATTGTTTTGAAGGAATTGCAAGGCAATGGCAAATTCATCCTGATTCATATTGTCTGCAGCCAGTGTATACTGCGACGATTTGGAGCATGGCGTGGACGCTTCCGCCAAGACAGCGGCAGTTGCGTGTCGCAAGCGTTGTGCCACCAACGTCGAGTCCATGGAGGGTTGCGCAGCGGACGTTTTGTTTCGTTCCTCTGTTGTAGTGGATTGTCGTTTACCAGTTTCAGTGCTAATATTACGCGATCCATTGGCAGCCGCACTGTTGGTGTCTTCTAATGATGTATCCAGTATTGCGAGTAATGCTGCCTCGGAGGTTGTGTCATGATCCTCGCCGACTGATGGATGGCCTTGAGTTTGTGTTGTTGCTGTTGTCCGTTTGGTCAAGACTGCCGAATGGATGATATCATCACCACCTTGTTGCTGACTGGAACTTGCCACCTGCAGTAGGACAGGATGTGGTAAGATAATCCCGAGACACCTTGCCACTGTGCTACTGATAGACGCCACCAGTCTCAATGCGGATTGTAATTCTTGCGGGGGCAAGACTCCGTACAATTCTGGGCCCGCGTGTGGCAACGGCAAGCCCCCAATCTTTCCAATTCCACGAGCCTTTTTGGTGCCATCCATTTGACTACGACGCCTACGGTCTTCCGTGTCGTTGGTACTAATCATATCTTCTGGACGAACCACGAGACGATGCATGGCAAATGCTTTGAGAGCCCATTGAAATCTCAAAATTTTGATTTGTTCTCGTCCAGCGTCAATGGCTTGTTTGAGGGATCCTTCACAGATGGACTGGTCCAATCGTTGGAGGTGTTGTCGTTGTATGGTGGCTTGTGGATATTGTATAGATTCTCTTTGTTCTTCATTCTCCACGGCCAGAGCCGCCACCTCCACGGCCAAAGCGGCACATTCTTGTTGGAGTTGAGCTCGTCGGTCTCGCAACCTCTGTGATTCAAACTGGAGTTCGAAAAAGTTTGTGCCAGATCGACTGTTGACGACAGCTAGTCTTTGAGCACAGCGTTCTCGGGTTAAATCACGTTCCAACAGAGCCTGTTCATGGCGCTCAATGGAAGATCGAAGGCCGTTGCGGCTGCAAGCGGAACACAAAACGGAATAGTCCCAAGGTAGACGGCCATCATCAGGAGGTCCAATGGCTTCACACAAGCACCGAATTCCTCTTGATTCTGGAGGATGACGAGGACTAGAGGAAGGCGGAGTGGAATTCTGTCCAGCAGCATTGGCGGAACTTGGAGGGCTGCTTGCCATGGTTGCTGTTCATTCAATTGATATCGAAACACGCACGAATGATCATAACTTGGAAATGGAAATGAGGCCACAAGAACTCTTCCTGACAACTCGGGTAGGGTACAAGGAGAGGAAGCAGTGCAACCAACTCTTTATAGTTGGTATCGACAGGAGGAGACGAGATACTCTAGACTCTAGAGTGCGTTGGCAAGGGTAACAATACGATAACACTGTGAACGCTCGAGTGATGTTTTGTGAGACGATGGTTCGGTTGTTCTTCTGAATGAGGTTCTTGATTTCCCCTGAACCCTATAAAAGCCAGCTAAGATAGATCTTAACTGGACACTTAAACCTTTTTAAAGCATGTCTGAAATGTCTTTGAGATCCGGCCTCCTCGACCCGCTTTGCTTTCCAGGATCCCCTCACAAAATTCAGTTGTTTCGGAACATCCATCATCGCCGAATGGGATGCAACCAGAAGCCGCGTCATAAACATGAACAAGTGAAAAGCTACCAAAAGGTTTTTATCAATCTATCAAGACCATTCATCTCTTTGAATACTTGAGCATTATTATCATCCACCATAGCAATTCGCAAACAAGCAAGATGGCCTCTGCACCCTGGCAGCATTGCCGGCGGTGTTGCTGTCGGTATGGGATCTTTCCCGTCCTCGTGGTCCCAATCGTCTCCTTTGGGTGGCTGTTATCTCTCTATTCGTCAGTGGGGTGTAAATTTATCGACTTGGAAATTGGATTTCAACCGGTCAACGTGGGTTGGGAAGCTACTTCACCGTACTCCTTTGGACCGCTCTTTTACCACAATCAAACTGTGGAACATGACAGCATGTATCGACAAACGTTCCACGGGGGTTGTGAGGCATATTCCGATGAAATGTACGAAAACTACGTTTCACATGATAGAACCTTCAAAATGATACAAATCATGACGCTGATATCAATTGCGGCCAGTACTTTGGCAATGGTAAGTACCGGTACCGTAACATACCAGCCGTTGCGTCATTTCGTGTCTCTGTCCCGTACATGTACGTGTTATCTTACTTTGTTCATTCTATAACTCACTGACGTCAATCCATATCCATAATAAATGACAGGCAGTTGCATGGTTGTTTGTAATCAGCCCTGTGCCGGCTGATTTCTTGTGGCCGGCTGTCCTATTGCCTTCCATAATGGTGGCTTTTATATGCGAAGGTGCCAAGTTTCTCATTTTCGATACTGGAGTCTGCCGCAGTGCCATGTGGTACCGAGGGAGTCTGCTGGTGCCAGAAAAGGCAGAATCGTGTAGAATGGGCGAAACAGGCTGGTTTGCATGTGCCGCGGGAGTGCTGCACTTTTGGGCGCTGGTATGTGTCTGTCTCAGAAGTCCGGAACGACGAATAGACGACACACCGTTCGATCCACTGGCCACTGCCGATGCTAGTAAAGAAGAAGAGGAAACAAGTGACACCCCAGACCTAGAAGGTGCGTGTGGAGGAGGATCCTCCAACACAGACAGCCAAGTGGTAGTCGTGATGGACGAGGACCCGGAAAAGCTAAGCGGCAAAGAATTACTAATCCTCCCGAGACTAGCCGATCTCCCCGAGAAGGCAATCGCCAACACAATTGGATCGTTCACGGAACTGATGGACTCAACCAGCTGCAACGCCTCTGACCTTCCATTGAAGCTTGGGCCCATTGACACGAGCTTTGGCAATTGCTGTAGCCCCATGTCCGAAGGCAAGCCTGCTACAGCTAGCCCTGAACTTATTCCGGATGTTCCTGAACGGCGGGTTGAGGACGCTCCGATTTCACCGGTTGACTTTATAATAGAAGGGTTCGATGTTGCAACTGACTTTTCTCAAATCAATGTGTGCCGGACCATGTCGTGGTTGCCTGCACAGCAGAAAGCTCTGGAAGATTCTGGTTCCAGTGGTCTTACGGCAACTGCACAAGATGATTCGACGGGAGACACCAAAGATCCAACCGCAACAACGCAAGCTCTCCGACAGAAAGAAGCTCCATCGCAAGCACAAGCACAAGCACAAGCACAAATGCAACCACAACAAGCCCCAGAGAACGCAATGCAACCGATACCTTCCAAGGAACATGCAACATCGCCACTTGAGGAAGCAGTGCCAGCAAAGGAAATTCCGCCAACGAGGGAAGCCCCAGCATTGGAGGTGCCAGCAAAGGAAATTCCGCCAACGAGGGAAGCCCCAGCATTGGAGGCGCCATCATTGAAAGATCCAGCAAAGGATGCGCCATCCGATGATCAGCACAACAAACCAGCCCCGATGTTTCTTCGACTTTCCGAAACTCGCAGCAACGATGAAAATGCTCCACCATCACCGTCAACCTGAGCATAACCCACCATGCATCTGCCCCGAATGGAATTCAAGAGCAAAACAGCATAACTACGGCCAGCCTATGGTAGCGGGGATCTAGACACTATTATACCAGATACTGATTTGGGATCTGTGTACATAGTGAAAGGCAGCCTTCTTTTTCATTTCGATGTTTCAATTTGTCAAAAAGGTCCCCATTGCAGTGCGTATCGGGCCATTTACCTGTTTATAATCTACTAGCTAGCTAAAGTAGTCAATGATTGCATGTTTTGGTTGTATTTGTTGCTCTTCGGTACAGGTCAAACAAAGCTCTGTTGCACTGTTGCACGTAGAGCCCCGTCCTCTTGTCGTCATGGTGGATTGAAACAACCGGCTGATCCACACGAACGAAACTTAGCACGGAGGAAGATGGCGTTGCAAGGGATGAATAATCAAGGCCAGCTTAGTGCTAGTAACGCCAAGATACATCCTAGCCAACCTGTTACCAAAAAGCAGCAGGATGATGCCCTTCCAGATGGCACTGGCTTTGATGATTGATACTTACCATCGCCTGTTGCAACGATGTCCATTGCGATTCATTTTCAATGCAGAACCGGACAAGCCAGTGGCCATTCTGTACGTGAAATGGCGATGATGCCTGACTGTGAAAGTGACAAGATTTTTGCAATTGCATACCCATTTGCTAGCAGAGGGATCCAAGGGGTGGTGTTGCTCCTGAATTTTTTTTGAATGTCTGGTGTTCCAAATACTGTGGAAGGTAATAGCCATGAATGAATCACTGTGTGGCGTTCAAAGGAAACGGAGCCTAGCTACACACCGGTAGACCATAAAGTGAGTAGACCACGATATATTGCCCTTTTAGAATAGATATGCTTGCTGGTGGGATACTTGGCTAGGCTGCCACTCAATGCGATCGCGACCTCTTTAGCTGGGAGCAATATGTCTAGCTAGGTAGACCTGCGGCTGGTGGTACCTACTGTAGGTCCAGGCGTTGAAACTGGAGCCCCAGTCGGGGCATTACTCCGACCCCGTTGTCGTGTGTGATTTCACGGCTCTTTATCCATCGCTCGTAATTGCATATAACTTATGCTACTCAACCTGTGTCGGGAAGCTCAAGTACCACACGACGAGGCCTGAGATGCTCCAGGAGGAAAAGACTACTGGTCGCGTTGAACCTTTCCTCTACTCGGAAAGCAGAACGGCTACTGTTCTGAAACACCATCTCATAGCAATCAACGAGACAGAAGAAGGGGGAAAAGGTTGCTTTAGCTCCAAAGATCGAGCCTATATTTCTCCTACGAGCACCCTGTATGTATCGGAATCGGTTGTCAAAGGAGTGCTACCACAGGTGTTGGACGAGCTTCTCAGTACGAGAGCCATGTTGATTCCAAGGAATACAAGACACGAGTACAAGGCCTGTCACCATCCATCCTGAGACAGCTCGAGGCCCGTCAGCTGGCCTTAAAATATGCGGCCAATGTCACGTATGGCTATACTTCGGCCCCATTCTCAGGAAGATGCGCTATGCCAGTGCTAGCCGATACTATTGTTGAGTGCGGTCGCCGTACGCTCACGAATGCTATGAGACTAGCCAACTCATGGGGAAATGAGCCTGGAGGAAGATGGGAGGGAGCCAAGGTGCTCTATGGCGATACGGACACTGTTTTTGTAAAGCTACCGGTGCGCTCGGTCGAGGAGGCATTCGACTTCGGTGAAGTATTTTGTCGTGAAGTCACAGCGAGCAACCCCCTCCTGTTCAGATCCAAACTAGAGAAGGTGTATCTCGGATCAATCTTGCAAACCAAGAAGAAGTACTGTGGTATGGTAATCGAATCGAAAGACAGCAAGAATCCCTATTTTGAGGCAAAGGGTCTGGAAACGGTGAGAAGGGACCAGTGTTCTCTTACGCAGAAGGTGCTGCGGAACAGTCTGATTATGCTCTTCCGACACGGTGTTGCCTCGGTGAAAGATTATCTTTTTCGCCGGTGGTCGCTCGTCATAGCTGGGCGGTTGCAGGTGTCGGATTTCATTCTCACTGGACGAGTTCGGAGCAAGTATCGAAATGGAAGCCTGGGTCCGGTTCAGGCCGGTTTATTTCGTCGATTGGCTGAGTCCAACCCTGGACTGGTGATGAAGAACAAGGAATGGATCGAGTGCGTGATGGTCGCAATGCCTGGCTCTTCGTACAAGCTTCGTGATTGCGTTGTGACTCCAATGGAGTTGCTCGAACAATGGGACGCCTACACAATTTTCTCGTCATAATACATCAAAAGGCACGTCAACGCTGCATTGCAAAGGTGCTTCGGCCTGGCCCCACAAGCCATTGATGCAATCTCTCTGGACCTGCAGCGCTGCTGGAACTAAAAACTACATGGAACTGACGCGACCGAGGCTGTCACTCGTAACCCAAAGCCCAAATTGTGGCCCAAGGTGTTCTGGAAAAGTTGCACATGTAATAAAAAGTTGCACATGTTTCGCGAAGTGCTCTGTGCGCCTTGTGGCGGAAGATTTAAGCTTTTCTTTCAGCGAGAAGGCTTCGGAACCGTTTTCCGACACGAGCCGCAAGCCGACCAGGAGTCACTCAGCCAAACTAACTGAAGCACCCTGTCATTTTTCAGACCAAATTGGTTTTGTTGTGAACGCTGATGAAGTCGTGGCATGCAACTGCATGTGCCAGAGACGATATAAAATAGAAGATAGACGACGACAACATCACATAGAACTACCCGGCTGCTGGAGATATTCGCCGCATCGAAATGGCTCTGGGCTCAACGTGGCGCTTATGGAGACACTGTTGCTGTCGTTATGGCTGGTATCCTGTCTTAATAGTGCCTGTCATCACTTCCGGATGTCTCCTGTCAATATACTCATCTTTTGGCTGCGATTTTGTGCAGCTGGACGTCGGGTTTACACCATCGAATCAAGCATGGAACCAAAGTACGGCACATCTGGGGTTGTTTTACATGTACACTGGAGTAGAGAGTGGGAACAAATACGAGCGAAATCTTCTCGAAGGATGTGAGTGGTATTCGGATGCCTTTGAATACAGCTTTATCGATGGCGACAGAACCTGGAAAGTCGCTAGAATCATGGCACTGATATCTGGCGCTGCCAGTATCACAGCAACAGTGAGTAAAAGCAGTCTCATTTCTACATTATTAACGCTCAGATCTCACACAATGCGTGCATTCACTCGCCTGTATTGTAGATGACATCATGGCTTTTCCTGTTCAGTCCTTTACCTGTTTCGCTTTTCTGGCCAGGGCTGCTTTTACCAGCCGTCCTGGTTGCGTTTCTGGCTGAAGGTTCCAAGTTTCTCATGTTCGACACAGCGGTGAGTTCAGATCTGGGAAAGACGCTGATCGATAGAGTTTCGTGCACTCATACCCATACCATTTCTATTGGCTTTTATTCAGGTATGTCGAACCGCTCTGTGGGCCCCAACAGGCGTAGAGTCGTTGCCACAGCGAGCAGAGTCTTGTGATTTAGGGGGAACAGCGGTTCATACCATTATATCAGGATGTATATTCTTCATTTCCCTCATGTTTGTATGCCTCAAAGCACCCGACAAAAGGCCATTGGACGAAGACTTTGGAAGAAACTACGACGACAAAGAGCCTCCACCAGACGCTTACATAGAATCTAGAATGAATGATGGTGGAGTTGATTGTGAATCACAAGACAGCTTTCCTCGGGGAAGTGATGTCTACATTGTGGGAGAAGCAGCTAGTCACACGGATCGATCAGTCGGAGACTTTGAATCAGTGGGTGGTCGTAGTGTACACAGCGGAAGAAGTGGGAGAAGCGGCCGTAGTGGTCGAAGTAGACGGAGCGGACTGGCTAACACACGGAAACCACTCGAGCTCAAGACAGTGCGCTCAGAATCCTCGAGATCTAGCGCAAACAGCGACAATTTCTCCTTTGGCCAAGGTCGACATACAGCTTATGACGGAGGAAGCCGAGATGGCAGAGAATCTAGATCTGCTCGACGAAGTCCGGAGGATACTTTACGTGAGGGCATTGTGGACCCTTCCGACCCAGCCAAGCTTCATCCACACGGCAATCGATTAGATTCTAGCTTTAGCGACCGAATGTCAGCAGCGGAGATTGCCATCCGGCGGTCAGAGCAGCAACGAATTTCAGAAAGCAGAGTGTCCAAAATCGAAAGGATGGAGCTCTCAACAACCACATCTGATTCCGAAGACATGATCGAGAAGTTCGTTTCAGACCTCAATCTGTCTTTCCAACAAGACGAGGCCGAATCAGAACTCCCAAGCAGCATGTTGGACATGCCGTCGTTAGGAGGAGGACCGGGGAAGAGAAGCTACCTATCCTAGTACAATCCCACGCAACAGTACCAGTGAGCCAATATGCACTGATGAACTGATGAGAAGGAACTCGACATCAAGACATCAAAGCTCTGAGCTCATACAACAAACAAATATACTTCACAATTCACAAGCAGCCACATGGCTTGGAGCCATGTTGGGACTGGAAATGATTGAATCATTCAATCACACACATTTCAAAGGAATGGCGCCATGGTTTAAGAGGCAGCCCCCGTAGATTCTTTCATAACGATCTCGTTCATACATACAGGCTCTTGTTACATGTTCCTGGCATCAGGAGACTTCCAAGCATTGGTTATAGTAGAGTGGATCAAGCGCTTGCGCTGCCTGTTTAACTTTAAATTCTACTACTTGTACACTACTATACAGTACCGTAGCGCTTGATGTCATCTGACTCAAGCAAGACAGCGAGAAGGCCTCAGGATTTATGCATGGCGTGTTGCGAATATGAACCAAAACCAGAAGCTTATGCATATAGCAGAGTCTGGACTTGTCATGTGCTGTCCATGAGAACCTTTAGATAGCAGAACACTGCATTTGTTTGTAGGCGACGGAGACTGGCGTACCAGAAATCTCCTCCAGCCCACCTTCATGCTGCTTCAGAAAATGCATCAACACTAGCACTGCTATTGCTGCGCTTGAACAAACTGGAACTATTGCCACTTGAACTTCTCATTCTGCTGGAGAAACCGACAGGTTTTTGCATTTGGATCTCTCTGTACTTGGCAAAGAAGTATCTAGACTGCTTTGCTTCTCCAAGGACTACAGTATCTGCAACCAAGTTCTTTTCCTCTAGCTTTCCAGCCAGTAACTCTGGTATTATTGTTTCCAGTTTCTTTTGGACAACTTGTGGGAGGAAGCCTTCCTCAACCCACTGCTGATTGTTGGTTCCTATGAGTCCAAACCCATGTTTTATGATGGTGCCCATCAAGACTACCCCAGTGCTGGAATGCTTTGAATTTGTCAAGACAACTGCGTCCACCTTGAGCACTTGAATTTGAAACACAACATATGGACCTGGATAATGAAGACAGAAGCTAAGGAGTGAGTGTCGCAGTTCCGTCAAACGGAATACCAGCGAATCTCAGCAAATGTTACCTTCTCGGAACACTTCAAAACAAGCCACCGTGATTCCTTTTTCCTCCATTTTAGTAATGATCTTCTGGGGTAACTTTTCGCCTAGCATGGAAGCGATCACAGGATTCGAAGCGATTCCACTTGCTGCTCTCGCTGCACGGTTGGCCACGGCTTTACTGAGTTGCCGCGGCAAGAGGCTCGATCGCTTCAGTTTTTGCTTGACCTTGGCTTCCACTGCATCTGTTGCGTCATGAACCACAATATTCAAATAGAGAACATTCGGCGTCCCATTGGGAAGCTCCAGAACCTCTTGGCTTGACAGCATCATGGCTTCGATACATATATGCTTTGCTTATTGAGTTCGTCGAATGGTGGGACAGCGTGAAATCGGCCAGTGTTTCCGAAAAATGATTGAACAGGATTCAAAGAAGGGGGAATTCAAAAGGTGCGCCAACAATCGGGATTGGTTCAGTCTGGGATGGTCAGTTGCGAAGTAAACACAGCTCTGCTGCTTTTCATTTAGCAAGTAAGACATCGTCGCACTCCTCAAACAACGCAACGGGTTCGTCTCTCCCCAAACATCGAGTAGGCGAAGGCACCGTCGATGAAGATGCTCTGAACGCCCCCTCCATCTTATCAGTTGTCCCTCGTGTTGACAATCATCTGTAGTCAGGGTAGAGAGAATAGAGTGTATTCGAAACAACAGGGCGGATCCAACGTTTCAGAAAGAGAAACCATCATGCGCGAAACCGTTTTGCCGAGGCCCCCACTGGCTGCTCTGAAGCAGCCGAAGCTAAAGCTGCCACAAAATCTCGACTCGTCGAACGTTGTGAAGCATACGATGGCTCAAATCATTCAACACAACGATGACATGACAAATTCGGCGTCCTCGTCGTCATCTCTGTCAATGATGCCAGAACTGCTTCTTCCCACGGTGACGAGTTCCTTCGACTGTCACTCACAGAGCTCTCAAGATCAACATGGAAAGCACGCTTCTTCTGGGTCTCGTTTGGAATGGAACGGATCCAATCCTCTGGAGTGGATCGAATCGATTGCTGCAGCTGCCGAGACGAGAGCTTCGATCGCCAACGGTGGAAAAGTGGCGGCCCCGATTCGTGTCAACGGAGTCAACTTGAGCTTGAAGCGACCCATGCATTACAAACTCACCCGCAAGGTCGCAGGCGTAGAGGATGAAGAAGAGCCGTACAATCTCAAGGACGATAGTGACCAACGAAAGCGTTCTCGAGTGCCTGCTGGCCACGCGACAGCTGCTGCAAATCAGCAAGACGCCCTAAAGCAAGGCCCATGGGATTTGACGGAGCTACTGAACGACGAAATGCAGCCAAAGTCGCTCGTTCATAGCCTTCATTATGTTGTTTTGACGTTCGAATCCAAGGACAAGGCTTCTCGATTCGTCCAGAGTAGCTACCAGCGAATTCGGAGCCACTTTGAAGCAGAGCTGCACCGTATCAAGGGAATGCATGTCGCAAGGGGTCCTTGCAAAGCGAACATTGCCAGTCAGATGGCAATGCTAGGAGTACTGTACAATGAGACACAGGTCAAAATGGAGGCGTTGATCCGAATGGAAGAAGCGGAAACTCAAAAACGTCCCGATGCTGCCACAACGGCTCACACAGTGGCCAAGAAGGACTTCACCAATTTCATGTCAGCCTGGCTTCGTGATAATTGGACCAACCCGTATCCTGACGATGATGGCCTCATAGAACTTGCGGATGCTTGTAGCAGTACTCCAACAGTTATCAGCAACTGGCTCATCAATGCCCGTACTCGTAAGTGGCGCCCTGCGATTGTAAAGGCTTTCGATATGAAGCGACCTTCGGAGCTGTTGCTAGAGGACTCGCTCAATATCTTCGATGGCAACCCTGTGCGTGAAATCCCGCAGGAACTGGAGCAGCACCACAGTGCTGGTGCTGGTTGCGAAGACGATCACTGTCAGCAGGTCAACAAACGCGCCAAGACAAGCTATTAGGGGTTTAAACAAGCCACAGCGAATCGATCTTTCAATCATGGAATACCGGTACTGCCACAGCAGGAACCAACTGTGCACAACAAGAAACTAACTATACGTAGAAATCTGATAATCTAACTCAAATCAATCAAGTATCCACCTGGTGCTTTTCCCCGTGCACCCCTTTACGGCACAGAACGAAACCAACCGTGCACAACACGAAAACTATACGTAGCAATCTGATAATCTAACTCAAATCAGTCATATATTCAATGCTGCACCTGGTGCTTTTATGCATTCGTCGCCACGGGAGAAAGAAACCTATACGTATACATGAAACTAGACACATACATAAACTCTCTTTGGGAAGGGTGAGCAATGCATCTTTCAATGTCTGCATCACTCGATTTGAACACTTTGCTTCTCACATAAAAGAACGCTCTCAACTCTGACAACTTTCAGGCCCAGTCGTTGTTTTTGGGAGAGAACCTTGTCCAGTATGGTATTTTGTCCGTAGAAGGAATGGAACATTATCAAAGCCTACTACTTGGTAGCAATCTGATTTTAACCAAATCATGCATCCTCCTTTAATCATGTACTCTACTACCGTACTATAATAGTACCTTTTTGTCATCGTTGCATCCCTACGAAACGCTGTCGCGGTGCAGCTAGGATTGGTTCACCCATAGACCTGAATCAATGCACCTTTTCATATGATACTCGGCATCTTTTGGGTCCAAGGATAGCAGTGCCTCCTTCAATACCTCAACATCTCTCGACTCGAATGCATCTCGCATAACTTGAGGTAAAGTTTCCACAACTTCAAGTGGGTCTAACCCACCAGGACCTAAACGCTGTTCTGGAGGGACATCCTGAAGTTCAACTCCTTGTCCTGCTTGCCCTTCTCGCTCTCGATCCATTTCGATTTTCTTCGTGACAGCCCGTTTGACAATCTTTTCCTGGAAATCCTTGACACCCGACAAGAATCCATCGAGGTACTCCTTCTGTTGCAAACGTCCAAAGAAAGGAATAATGACATTTCCAGGATGCGTATTGAGACTGCGAGCCAGATCGGCAATGCTGGAGATGAGTTGGGATTGTCGCGCCGTTTGTTTCATTTTTTCGCGGTATCCATTCATTTCGTCTTCCAGTGATGCCAGCAAGAGGTAATTGGACGCATTTTCTTGCAATAGGATGTTTCCATTCTTTAGCAAGAATTCTTTGGATGCTTCCAAATCTGTAATGGCCATGAAATTTTCCACCGTGTCGGAGTATTTTTCGGTGAATTCGTAGTAGCTCATAATGGAGATATCGGACGCATCACGTTGAGGACCCGAAGGTGTAGGTCCTGCCTTCTTTGCTACAGTCGTGGTAGTGGTGGTTTTGGTAGTTGTCGTGGTAGTCGCCTTTTGCTTTGCGGGAGCAGCTGCAGCCGGCTTTTTGTCTTCTTTGGTAGTAGTTGTCGCCTTTGGTTTTTCCTCGCTCTTCTTTTCCTCGGTACCAATTTTGACGTCACTTCCGTCGGTGGTGGACTTTGCAAATCCAGTTTCCGTGTAATTATTTTTGGCTCCGTCCGGATTGATCATTGTGCGTTCATCCTTGACAACGCACATGTTGTCGACGTTCCACTTTTTGTTGCGTTCGTATTCGTCCAATTTGGCTTGACGAACGGCATTTTCCTTTTCCAATGCTGCAATTTCGGCCTTGAGAGCTTCACCATCATCCAGATCGTCGTCGTCGTCATCATCGTCTTCATCTTTGAGTTGCAAGGCCGTGGTCTTGATATTGTTCAAATCATGCTTCAAACTCATAATACGTTGATTGGCTTTTTCCATCTAACCAACCCATAATAATAGAATAAAATATGCAGCACACAATAAATTATACGGAAACAAAGATGATGAGGTCAAGCGTCACACAAATCAACTCAACCCATGCATGCATACTACGTTTGGACTTGTCTTACCGCCTCTTTGATCCTCTTCTTGTCGGCTTCTTCATGTTGTTCACGCTCGACACGACTGCGGTGCTTCATCCGAAACCAACTCTCCTTGTCAATGTTAGGGTGCACATCTTCTTCATCGTCACTAAGTTCAATGTTGTCCCATTTCGAATAGTCAAAGGGCTTGCTCATGGTGCGGTAGGTCTAATAGAGACAACAGCTAGTTTACTACTCTCCAATGCTTTCGGTGTGTGTTGTCTTTTTGAAAAGATCGTTGCAACAAAATGCGGCCTTCTCTTTTTTGTGAGAGGCCACCGGATGCAGCTGTTGTGTGCTCTTCTTTTGTCACGGTGGAAGCTCATCGAAAGCTTTCGAATTCGGGTCACGACCGTGACTGAACAGAGAAAACGATATGTTCCGTCAGAGCTCTCTCCAAGGATCCTTCGCGATCGTTACTCCTACGCCATTGCAAGTTATAGGTATACCGGTACAGTACAACTTTGGGGTCGCTACAGTTAGTTGTACTGCATAATCATGGTGTTGGCAGTGGAGTGGGCCATACGAAAGAATGGCGCTCCGTTTCACATGGCGCATAGCGAGGATCCAATGATCCAATGTTCCAAATTTTGTTCTTTGATGCAACCATACAGTTGTGTGAAAGAAGATTTGGCACAGGGAGCAACAGTACAGGCAGAAGCTACACAAGCCGTTCCTTCGAACCACCCAAGGAGTACGAGGATCCCATGTCACGATACCAGATAACAATGCTACGGTGTATCAGGCACGTTGTATTGTATACACACATGCTCGTTCATAACTCAAGCTAAGGTTATCGCTTGGCTCGATAGAGCTCTCGTGGTTGCTAGTGCGCAGTAAGGTGTAGTTCATTGTCCAAGCAGTCGTCAAGCACACAAATTCATTCGAAGGGCCCTCGTTGATTTCCGCTTCTGCGCTGGCAAGATTGTCCCGTCGATTTGCTGCTGCTGGCATGCAGTGAAGCTGTTGTAACTCGCTGAGTGTCTCTCCTTGAAGGCTCTACTATAGTACCGGTACTATAGGCCCGTTATGCGTGTGCACCTGTATGTTCGATGTTGGCCTGCAAGCGCAACGTGTAGCCCATACACCTTGGCGTTGCCCCACCGAGTGAGTAAATCCAGCGCTTCCATATCATCCAACAAATCAGCAACCAGGCAAAGCCCCACCAATCGACGATTTGATCCTACATTGGCTCTTAATGTTATGAAATGATGTTTTCCATCAGTATAGAAACAGTGTACGGTACAATCCACAAAATTTGCCTCTCCTAAACCATTCCCACCGTTTAGCAGTCCACTGCCTTCCTGTTACCTTCATCGTCCGACTTGACACTTTTTGGTGGTGTCGTCCTCTCCTTACTACTATCTGACTGCGACTCTTGGGTGACAGAGGTATGGTCCGTACCAAGGACGGGCCTAGTCAAGGTCCTATCGGAGATTGTCCGATCAGACACTGTCATATCCATCTCCAACCTCGTCGATTCGGTGGAATCCTTCATTCGTCCTCCCTTGGAGGATTGTCGCTTCATGGCGGGGTCATCTTCCCGTGTCGATGCATCCTGCATGGCCGCAGGTCGATCCGGCATTTCCAACTCTTCTTTTTCTAGGATCTCTTCCAACTTTTCGGTGTAGGCAAGCAATTTGAGGAACTTCTCGTGGTTGACTTCCGTGGTGATACCAACGATACCATGGCCGATTCGAACAAAGCGCCACACTCTCGCAATGACCAATAAACCTACGACAGAAGTAATCTTGTCGTTGTCCAGGAAGTGAAAGGACAGTTCCAATACCAAGCTGGTCGTGATAATGGTGTAATCCAGGAGGTAAAAGAACTGTCGGAAAAAGACACAGGGCGTCAAGGCAATCATCTCGATGGTCAGCTCTACCATAAAGGTGGAGAGGATGAAAATGGTAACGCCAAAGAGCACCTCTTCCACTTCGTGTACTACGTGCCATTTGTGGTCATCACAGGTCGCGGTGTAGTCATGCTTTGGCTTGAGCCCCGCGTCGCAATAGAGATGATCGTCTCCACCTCCGCCACCCAGGAATCGATGATGGTCATCATCGTAATGAGTGGCATCCTCGTAGGGACAGCAAGAAATGGCATCCCGTTCAATGATCGCGCACGCGGGGAACAAGCTCATGAGGAAGACCTCGACAAAAAGGATAAAGACATCCAGCAATAACATCATGAGAAGAGCCATCTGTACGGGCTTCCAGTGCAACCAGCGCAGTACCACAACCTTCCAGTTCTTCTCGTTCGCGACGAAATCTTCTTCATCTTGATTGGTCGGAATGCCATACCCCATTGCGTGGTTGTTCTCCGCTTCCTGGATGGGATTCACCCATTCAGGACGTTCCAGCCCGGCCAGGAAACGACTCGAGTATCCTTGAGCTGGAAAGGTCCGTTTGAAGTCTCTGAGGTCTCGCGTGGACATGGTGATGGATGATGGATGGATGATGGGTATCAGTATCCTGAAGAGCGAAACAAAGTCAGAAAGAAGCAGTGATGTGGCTGTTACTGGTGTTCCGAGAGCACCTGTGATTGCGCCTTTGCTCTCTTGGTTAGGTGATGTAATCCCAGAAAACTGGAAAGACTACCTCTCTGTTGCTGTATGCTGCTCCAGCGCTCGCCAACCTACTACCTTGCCGCGTCGCGTGAAATATTGCCGAGCTGAACTGAACTGATGGGTGGAGGTGTATCAGGCAGAATGGATGGGTTTGTGAGCTTGGATCTTCGGGAAGCAAAGGTTCGGGAAAGTTTTAGCTGATGATGCGTTGGTGCGTCGGAGGAGCCCGCTTTAGGTCGGACTTAAAAGTCTTACAACTGGCGGATTTAAACAATCATCTTCTCTAGGAGATTAGAGGATTTAAATACAATCTGACTTCTTGCTCTAACGCAAATGGGCATATTTGTTACTAGATACGTTTGAACGTATGCTTTAAGTCTTGGTGGATAGAATTTGCTTAAAGTCTTAGAGTTCCAAGAGTACACTCCAAACTCGAATATAAGAAACTCCACTATAAGAAAGCGAGCCCTGAGATTCTAGAGAATGTTAAGAACATCTTGATGCTGAAATATCACAGACTTGTAAGAAAGCTTCCCAGTATTAAGACCTCAAAGCATAAGAAATACTACTAGTCCGACACCATGAAAATGCTTCAAACTTGTGCTTACATCTGCAAAATTTTCTGCCTCACGGCAGACACAGTGATCACCATCTGTATTTGATCCAACCCAATTTATGATTCCTGAGCAAGTTGAACCAAAAGGGCCAGGTTCATTGCGTGTATCCAAGCACTGCCCTGCTTGACCTAGAAGCATAGTAAGAAAGTCTTCTATGCTGAAATTGGCTTGTTTTGTTAGAAACAATCTGAGGGGCCAAAATGGTGCTGTACGGTAAGAAAGGCCCAGGGCTGCACCGAATTTAGAGATTTCTTATATGTGAGTTTGGAGTGTATGTCACAATAAGTACTTCATTCACTGAATGGATTTGTCCCAGGCTCCGCCCAGACACCGTCGTCCCAATGTCTACTACTAGGCCTTCTCGTAGATTCAACGTGTGTGGTTCATATAATGCTTATATAGTTAACGGCTACTTGTCTCTTAATTCGTGGGATACCAGATCGTTGATTCGATTCGGCTTGGAATTCGAATTCGCACCGAATACGAACAGAAAACGATGACTATCGCGATATCGCGATCGATACTAGTTCATCATTGCCTCCGACTGCTTGTGGATAATGTTGTTGTGGTTGCTTGTTGGATCATATCGACGATGACACCTCAGCGCTTCTTGCGGGAGGGAGTGGAATGGTAGTTCGTGTAGTGGTTTAGGTGGCCGACCTGCTGCGTCAAGTCTTTCATTGGTGACAACCACGTCAAATTTGTTGTTTCCAAAGAAGAGGATGGTGATAGCAGTGTCTACTTTGGTTAGAAGGACAACGCACTGGTTAGTAGCAGTGGAGATGCGCTTGACCATTCCGTGACGATTGAAAGTGTTGACCCAAGCTTTGAATTCTTCCGGTTTCCAGTATCGATTGCCTCCGATTGTCACAACAAGAGTGCAGTCCTTGGCCGACTGAATGGAAGTGCTGACAGACTCTTCGAGGAGGTCCTGAACATCAGTACTGAGAGGCTTGATGCGACCTTCCATGATGTCGAAGCCGTTCTTGAGGTTGTCTTCGTCATCGTCGAAGGGATCTTTGTCATAAAAAATGGTGCACATCATTTCCTTGTTGGCAAATTCCTTTGGTTTGAGAGCCATGATGCTTGTTCCTTTCTGCTCGATTGCAGGTTGTGATCTCTCTTTGAGGAAGGCTTGTTCGAACGAAACTCATCTCCCGCCCATGCCAATGACACGACCGCCGATGGAGTATATCTTTCCAAGAAAGTCTCGATTTAAACCGAGGAATATTCTTTTTGGCGGGACGAATGACTCGACTCCGGGATTTGAAGAAAGCTATCGAGCTCACACAATAAGACGCAGCAATCTAGCTACCAGTGCAATGAGTTGGATCAACGTCTCTGTCAGGGACGGCCAGGATGGGGCCGGTTCGAATGCTGCTTCAGTTGCAAGGATCAAGATCACTTGTCCTCCAGGAGTTATCGACGCTACACTCGACGGGCCGGTTACCCTACAAAGATTTGGCGACACTACTCTATTTCGCATTGCCATCCATTACAACAACAGTCGATTCAACCATGCAGTTCTTTGTATTTCTCCTAATGCTGCCTGGACCGTATCCAAACCAAAGAAACTCATCAGCCAAAACACGAGGACTAGATTTTTGGTGATGAAGTTTGATCTCCCTGAAGACAACCCCGAAGGCTTTGTCAAATTGGAGGTTACTCTCCCATACGATGGAGAAGAAGGCAATGCAATGCTGTTTGCCCAAGCTGCCGTCTATGCATCTTGCGTCGTCTGTGACCGCGTCAACATGGAAGCTGCAGATGCCACCACCAATGATGAATTGGATGATGAATCATTCGAATCGTTTCAGGGCACTGTATCAAGTCTAAATCTAGTCTAGATCTGGCATCCCCTGGAAACTGAATTGTGCGTCGCATCACCTGTTGATTGCTTCTATAGAAAGCAATAAAATAATATCTCATTGGCCAAATTGATGACTCTTTCTAGCTAGTTGCCGCCTTCGTGAGTGGTTCAAAATCTCACTTGAGCTCATCCTTTCTACCTCTTTGGCAAGACGATCGGATGTAGAGCAGCAACAGGCCGGAGATAGATAGAACATAGCGCTTATACTCGACGGATCTGTTCCGTAGCAACAGCAGCTATAGAGATGAGTGACTGTCACTCGCGTCGACTTAGCTTACGGTCCTCAGCTTCGATCTGTGGTGCTCACAGCTCGCTGTTTTAAAGCTATGGTATGGCATGCATTTGACGAACAATCCTATTGCTTTTATATATCAATCCGCGTTAACTTATACTATACCAAGGGTTGGGGTTTATGATTCAAATTTTCGAAAGCAACTGTCAATCCAATAATCCGCACCGATCCATCTTTATAATATGCTCCACGGTGATGACAATGATGGTTTACGCCTCCTCTACCGCGGCTGTTTCTTCTTCCGGTTGCAATACACGGCTCTTAGCCTTATTCGCGACTCGATCCTAGATAGGGTTTGAGTTCGACTCATGACGTAGTCCTTCGCG